ACACTTTATCCCTCGAGCCAGGTATTCAGGCCCCGCAAGCACCCAATCTATAGTCTATCAAGCCTTCACATACTTGTCCCCCGGACTATAAAAATGTTTACCTAGTCAGACTCTGATACCAATTATAGAATTGTAAAAGGTTTTCTCTACTCTAAAAGTTAGCCAATAAAATGAAGGCTCCCCCATTTATATATTAAGTCTCTTGGCGCTCTTACATAACCGGTGTGAGACTATTCAACACCAAACATTCATATGATACTATTCAAAACTTGCCAATATTTAGCAAAAATTGGCTAGAATCCAGACGCCCTTAGGATTGAAGATACTATCTTCATAGTAAACACTTTGTGTGAAGGCTCTAGATTCTTTTGATTCATCACTAAATATAGGATTAGCATATATGTATATAGAGAGGCAAAGAAGATCAACTAGACGCGGTAAACATGCAGTATGATTTCAACATATACCAAATCCGATATACCTATAGGTTTTGGTGCTCCGGCGAAAAATAAGACGGTGAAGGTGGGGGCAGGACGTGGCAACCATGGCATGCATGGCTGGTGTGGACAGCAGGGGAGGGGAAGCGCTGTCGCTGGCAGCCGTCGTAAGCGGCAGAGGGAGGCGTGGACGGGGATTGGGAACCCGATATATAGCATTTTCTTTAGGCTTTATTCGATTAATCACTGTGAGGGAGGGATTGGAGGGGATTTATTTCACACCTATTGTGGTGTGGAATTATTCTCCCTCAATCTCCTCCAATCCTTTTCAATCTCTTTCAAACCGAACAAGCCCTTACACAATTAGTTTCGAGCTCTGAAGAGTTATCCTAGGCTGGAAATGGCGCCATAATCTCCAATTAATTGGCTCTCTTAACCGTACGTACCCAGTACCCTGGCCATTAGTACCATTGATGTAATTCGCAGTTGCAAAGCAGTAGCCTCTGCCTCTCTAGCAGGCAGCTGGTGACCCTGAGCTAGCATAGGCAGAGTCACCCTGATTGATCGGCAAGGCGACACCAGAGTACAGTCAAATGCAACCGTAAATCGCCGCTTAATTAGGACTCGAAACTGTACCGCATTTGGTTTTATGATGCAAACACACTGCTGCTGCTGCTTGTGCTGCAGTGCTGCTCTACTGTTGCTGCTGCTGCTTGTGCTACAGTACCATTGAATTCATGTATCTGCATATGGACGTTGCTAGCGAGCTCATTAGCGATTGATGATGACTGATGAGCAGCTTAATTAACTACGAGCATGCATGCAGGGGGAGCAGATTCAGCAGAGAGCAGCAAATGATGTGCATGCCACTGGAAAAGGGAGAACGTTTGAAACATGGATGGAAACCGAGGCGATCGATCGATCGGATGGATGGGTCGATCGATGCGAAAGATATGGGCAATAAGATCGATGATGTTTCTCAGATGCTTTGTCGATATGCGCTGACAGAGATGATCAGGCTGAGCATCTCATCGTCTGGGCATTATGTTGCAGCGGATGCAGCTGCAGCCACCCCAATGGGGAAATTGGTCAAGAATATCGGAGAATATCCTAGTAGCTAGTACTGTACAGTTCCTTGGAGATACCAAGAAGTTCCATATTATCTTGAGAAAATTTACAGATCCCAAGCTATAGAGGTCCACAGTTTCTAATGTACCCATATACGTTTCGATGACTGGGTCTTCAGGATAGCTTCACAGGATGGTGGGCTAGACGACCTGGATTCGAAGCCTCGCCCCCTTCTAATTATTTAATATTATGCCCCTTCCTAATATTCATGTCTTTTTAAAATGAATGTTTGTTATAATGTGCTATGAAATTGACAGAGGCTGGATCTTTAATCCATTTTTTTAAAATAATGTACCATGAAATATATAGTTTCATATTCGTTCTATATATGCCATATATGGCCTGAAATTTGTCTGTATTCCTACATGGTGTATGACCAGATGGTGGGCACAAACACATAATCTGATGGAGGTGGAATTGATTCGGATATCCAATCCGTTCATCTGATTTTCTTTATATCAAAAGAGAAAAAACAAATAATGGAGTGCGTATGTCTACAACTCAGGATAAAAAGACATAGTGGTCCAGGTATTGGAGCTGTCCAAAAGAAGCATGGTCCCTGGTCTATATAGAGTAGCCTCCTAGGTTCTGGTGCTGGAGTGGAGGATTTGTGATGTTGGTGCTATTGGGAAGATACTGTGTGAGCTAACGAAATTTCAACCTTTGCTTAAAATTTTAACAGGATATATATTGATACAGTTTTGAATTTTTTTTAGATGGACATAAAATAGTAAATAAATCCTGTTACTAAACTTATATCTAGTAGTGACTAAATTAAACAAGTTGCTTAGAATAATGGTAGCTAGTGACTAAATCAAACAAGTAGTATTTTCTAATAAATCGGTCTGGTGGGTGGTACATGTGCATTAGATTTTAGACCTCTTTTTTTACTGAGAAACCTCTTATTCCAATAGTTTGTATCTACTACTCCAGTATACTAGGAAATGTAGACACACTGATATTGTTGACATAGTAGTTTAATAACGTGATAGCTCATTCATTGCAAGTGTATTATTAGTAATAGGTGGTACTCCATCCGTTTTAAGTTATAAGACATTTTGACTTTAGTCAAAGTCAAACAGTTTTAGGTTTGACTAAGTTTATAGACAAATATAGTAATATTTATAATACTAAATTAGTTTCATCAAATCAATATAATAGAATATATTTTCACAATAAACTAGTCTTGCACTGGTGGAGAAACCATCTTTGGTCGGTCGCCCGAAATCCACAATAGTCTCGGTTCCACTAAAAACCGGGACTAAAGATGATCTTTAGTCCCGGTTGGTGGCTACAGCGGGCATATTTGATCTTTAGTCTCGGTTGGTGTTACCAACCGGGACTAAAAATGATCTTTAGTCCCGGTTCTAAATCTGTCAGGCCTTGTCAGGCCCCCCGATATCTTTAGTCCCGGTTGGTGTTACCAACCGGGACTAAAGATCCCTGGAATAAAGCGTACGCACCAGCCCACGCACAAGCGCATGCGTAGCCCATCCTTATCTCTTTTTCTTCTCCTTCCTTATCTTCATCCTCTCCCCTTCCTCTTCTCTCACCCCCTCTCCTCCTCCCCTCCCCCTCTTCCTCTTGCAGAGGCAGCCGACGGCGGCGGGATGGGGGATGGGCGCGGGCTGGCAGTGGCCGGCCGGCGGTGGCGGGATGGAGGCGGCCGGGCGCGGGCTGGCGGCAGCCAGGTGCGGGCTGGGGCTGGCGGCGGCGGGATTGCGGCCGGGCGCGGGCCAGCGGGATGGAGGACGGGCGGCGGCGGCCCGGCGTGGGCCGGCGGGATGGAGGCCGGTCGCCGGCAGCCTCGCCCTCCCCTCCTCCAGATCCGGCCAGAGGGGAAGCGGCGGGATGGAGGACGGCCGGCGGCGGCCCGGCGCGGGCCGGCGGGATGGAGTCCGGTCGCCGGCGGCCTCGCCCTCCCCTCCCCCAGATCCGGCCGGAGGGGAAGCGGCGAGATGGGTGGCCGGCCGACGGCGGGATGGGAGGCCGGCCAGTGAGTCGATTTTTTTTTTGATTTTTTTTAATTTGTGGTTTGGATGTTTTGATCTGTGAATGAATCTATGAATCGATATTGTGAATGAATCTGTGATGTTGTGAATGAGTATGTGACTCGATGTTGTCAATGAACCTTTGAATCAATATTGTGAATATATTTGTGATGTTGTGAATGAATATGTGAATGAATATTGTGAATGAATTTGTGGTGAATCTGTGAATCGTGCTGTGGAGTTGTGATGTGGATTTGGGGTTTGATTTGATGATATGCATACCACTCGATTCGGGAGAAAATAAAAAAGAAAAAATGACTAGCTGATGGACTGCCGCTACCCTCTTTAGTCCCGGTTGGTGTCATCAACCGGGACTAAAGATCGATCTTTAGTCCCGGTTTTTTCACCCAGGACTAAAGATAGCGATCTTTAGTCCCGGATTGGTAGTCCCGGTTTGAAAACCGGGACTATAGGGGGGTTACGAACCGGGACTAAAAAGCACTTCTCCACCAGTGTTGGGTTGAAAATGTTACTACTTTTTTTCTACAAACTTAATCAAATTTAAAGAAGTTTGACTTTGACCAAAGTTAAAACGTCTTATAACCTGAAATAGAGGGAGTACGTAGTAGGATATAACTACACATAAATAGAGGATTATACACCACTGCATTTTAGTAATAGGCACTCGATGACATTGTGACATGTCTTCAAGTTCTAGATATTGAAAGAACTATATGCATCTCTGATTCTGCATCTAAAAGATAAACACAGCCACAAGAAAAACGCACATGCATCATGCATCATTGGAGTTGGATGCCCTTGCAAACTAATTTACTGTATTAATTAAGGTGGTGACCTTCTTTTCGCCTAACTGTTAATTGCTCACTAACTTTGCATTAATCTGATAATGAGTTCCTCCTTTAATTCTTAGAGCAAATTTAATAGTATAACTAACACATCATCTACAGCTAATCTAATAGCCTACCCATACAATATTTTTATATAAATATATACAACACCATTAATACTTGGTCTATCTCTTGCATAATTATTTTAGAGTTCGTGTTGTAGACAACAAATCTATAGCTTATTTTTTTCTCTCTCCTCCACATGTGGTTGGTACTAGCCTATAGCCTTCTATTATACTACTTCATCATTGATTTGTTTTTTTAGTAAATGTTAATCACTCACATTTTAATTTTAGTCTCTTTCAGGTAAATCCACATCAATAGCTATCCATCTAGCTAGTCTTATATATAACCCTCTTGTAACCTAAGTTTTCAAGGTTCAGGACTCAGGAGATGGATCGATCGAGCCAGTACTGCTACACGTATACACCGAGATGAGATGAGCATATGTATACTAATTAACAGCACGAGCTAGGAGAACGACGCAAGGTAAAAAGGACAGGACCCCGAAAGCGACGCTGATCATTTTAGTTGGGTGTAAATGAGCACCACAGGTTCAGAAATATGAGCGCTCTCGCTCACAGTACTCTCACTGCAGTACACACACTCTGAGCTCCACTAGCTCTCTCTCCTCTCCCTTTCCTTCCTTATTATTCCTCACCATCAGCTAGCTGAGAGCTAGGGTTCAATTCCCTCTTGCTGCTCCCTCTCTCCCGGCCGGCGACGGCGACGGCGACGGCGAGGCTGTTGGGCTCATCATCACCTAGCTGAAAATCGGCCGGCTTGATTAATTCCAAGCTTGCAGGAGGCTAATTGAGGTGATCTATATCTCCGGGGAGAGAGAGGAGGGAGAAGCGCCCTCTTGCTCATGCTTGTGAGTGTTTCTTGACAGATCTGTGCAGATTTTCAGCTCCTCTTCCTGCTTCACAAGCTCGATCGATCGATCTTGTGGATTCTCTTGAGTTTTTTTTTTGTGTGTGTCTATTTGTTTCGATTTTTTTTTCTGAAAAGAAAACTAAAGTTTCACTGGATCCCCATCCACAAGAACAGACAATTATTTCAGTTGGTCTGGTGCTTCTTGGATTTTAATTTACCTTGTCCTTTATCTTCACCACTAGTAGTTCAATTCACTACTAGCTACTGGTAGTGTTCACTACATCTGCGTTTCGTTCCTATATTTTTGGATAATATTTTCTATCCTATTTTGCTGGACACATGCAAAGGAGGACATGAATTAACTGACTCATTTGGGTAGAGCTAGTTTTTAATAAAGTACTTAATTGTGTATATACTTGACCAGCTAGTGCTTCAGTGGTCTAGGAGAAGCCTAGCTATAATTACTGGCGTTGTTGCTACAGTTCCTTAACAAAACAAGTTCTCTTTTTTTCTGTACTAATTCAGTGTGGAGTGTGATGCTCTCTTGTCCTGTGTAGAGAATAAAGCTGCTTTCTCTCTCTCAGTGCAACAGTGTAATCGATGCATGCATCATCATCATCTCATTTTATGCTCGATTCGATCGAATCGATCGATCGATCGATCGATTGATTTAATTCTGTTACTAACTAATTTTTGCAGGTCTAATCATGAGCAGCTCAAGATGACAAGCAATAACAGCACGAATGAGGAGCTCGGCGGCGGCGGCAGGAAGGCGGCCGACAAGCCGAGCGGCGGCGGCGGCGCCGCCGCCGCCGTGGCGAGCTCGCGGCACTGGTCGGCGTCGACGGAGTCGCGGATCGTGCGCGTGTCGAGGGTGTTCGGCGGCAAGGACCGTCACAGCAAGGTGAGGACGGTGAAGGGGCTCCGCGACCGGCGGGTGCGGCTGTCGGTGCCGACGGCGATCCAGCTCTACGACCTGCAGGACCGGCTGGGGCTCAGCCAGCCGAGCAAGGTGGTCGACTGGCTGATCAACGCCGCCCAGGCCGAGATCGACAAGCTTCCGCCGCTCCAGTTCCCGCCGCACGACCACGACCTCGTCGCCGCCGCCGCCTCGTCCATGGCGCCGCCGCCGTTCGCGAACGGAGGCGACGGCCACCACGGCGCCTCCGCGTCGTCGATGCTGGAGGACGGCGACAAGGCCGCCGGCGGCGGCGGCATGAAGGCGTTCATGAGCCTGAGCAACTCCCTCGGCCTGCTCAACGCCGCCACCATGCCGGCGACGTTGGCCGCTCACCACCACCACCATCATCACGCCGCGGCGTACTACGCCGCCGCCGAATCTTGGGGCAACGGCGGCAATGGTGGCCACCACCATGATGTCAGCCATGGCGTCTCGCCTTCGGCTCACAACTCGCCGTTCCCGTCGCTGCTGTCCTTGGCACCGGGCTCTCATCATCAGTTCGTCTTCTACTCGCCGGAAGGCGGCGGATTCGCCGTGAAAGAGGCTGCAGCCGAGCAGTTTCCTGTAGATAGCCTCGACCACTCGCAAGGGCAGCTCACACTGAGCTCAGCAAGAAGCTTCCTTCACTCTGGAAGCCAGGGATGATTTGATCAATTACAAGAGACAATAATCCCTACTCCAATAAGGCTGGTACGTTAGAACAAATTAAAAAAAATTCTAATAACTTCGTTTGTTGTTCCATTTTCAGGTGTGTGTTTAAGGTTGTGATCAATTTGGTATTTTATTTAAGCGCATTATTTGGTACGGCCAGATGATTAAGAGTTCTAGAACTACTTAATTACAGCATGCAAAAGTTAAAATTCAAGGTTTTGCAGGGTGTGCGATATGCAATTCGTTGCTTCTTCTTTTCTTTTCTTTTATATATATATATGGAGGTAATTAATTGTTGGTGTATTATTTTGTCTTGTGTAATAACGATTTGAGAAATTTTGGAGCCTAGCTTTTAACCTTGAGTTTCTTTTGTGAATTTTGCTTCTGAATTGAGCTGCATGTATCCGACTTAAATAGTGTATCTTTTGCAAGCTAGCTAGCTTGGATTCTATATCTCTATAAATGTGTCACTTGGTTGTGTGTCTATGCACGTGTAGATATAAAACTACCGGATTTTTATCTATTATCTTAATATTATATAAAAAGCGTGACACTTCTTAGAACATAATTTTCATTAATTCATTCCACTCGTTCTCATGTTGGGTGTGACATCATGTTATTTAGGATATGTATTTAATAGTAATGTAGGAAGAAGTTTCATGAAAATATATAATATATTATAGTGATAGACCTCCAATCAGCAAACATATCATTTTTCACTTTTGAGAGACAATGTACTTTGACTATTTAATTATTTTATATAAGTAAAAAATGTTATACAAGTGTGATATTAAGGAAAACATTTGTTATAACAAACTTGGATAGCTATATATTATTTTTATATTTCCAGGATCTACTGTTTACTTTAAACAATAGTTATAGCCAAAATCAACTTCTGTTGACTGCAAAGGTTCCATGACAATATTGTTTTGTGACTAAGAGGGAGTATAGTGACAGTCGCCAACAACACACATTATTCTACCATCAACTATATGAAGAATTTTATAAATATTAACTGCTCCTTATATTAGCATAATATGTTGAAACCTTAATGATAAATCTCTTCAAGTAATTAATGGAAAATATATTCATATTATTTTCCATGCAACAAATCTTAAGTTATCTTCATATAATCAAAGTTGTGTAATCACATAGTCCTATGCATGTCGTATGACACAATGGACAGCTTAGATTGGTGAATGTTACAGAGTTTTTATTTATGGATATTCGTGATACATGCCATTTTTTATGAGCTCTAAGGGTATGAACAATTAACACAAGCTGCCATCGCAAGTTGGTGGTTTAGGAACATAGAGATTAATTCATTGTTGGCGGTCCATCATTCTCTAAAATTATTGTTAAATGGACTCGCATATCTATTTATTTATCACCACCTAATTATTTCCCTCTTTTGTCCTATACGTTTGGATAATTGGATTGCATATTTTGTTACTTCGATCCCTCTGTTTCATCATATAGTCATCTTGGATTTGTGTTAGGTCTCAAGCTTAACCAAGTTTATGAAAAAAAAATATTTTCAATAAAAAAATTAATATAAAAATATGTTCAATGGTGTAATTAATGAAATTAATTCGATGTTATAAATTTTGCTACCTTTCTCTGTACTCGATCAAATTAAACCTAAAGAAATTTAAGTTAGAATAAACCCAAAATAATTTTGCTTCGAAGTTCATGTTTGACCCTATGGCTAACCCGATCTTGCTTCTCTCGTCTTCATGCATGATTACAGCCTTGTTCAATGTCGGGCTTCTGGCTAGGATAAGGAAATGAAAGTCTAGCCCGTAGGATTAATATCGGAGAAATATTTTTTTTTCCTCTCTTGTTAAAATGCTTTTCCTAAGAATTGACACCAATACATTTTATTGTTTAAGCATTTTAATAAGCATTGAGATATGTACTATTCTAGCTCAAAATTAGGTTCTATCGAGTTTAATTAGCTTTGGTCTGGACTGCAAGCTGCTCTCCACAGCATGTGAACAAGTTGCATTGTGAGGGGTTATAATAAGGTCACGACCTGGTGTTCGGAGTCATGATGAGCATGGGTGTGCATGGCAAGCAATGATATTTTCATGATGTTTTGGTATCTCGGGGTTCTTGAGAGTTTAGCAGGTAGGGTCCACACAAGTAAAGATATACTATCTATTTTTTTTACAACGTTTGACTATTCTTCTTAATTTTATTTGATGATAAAACAAGTCACAATAAATAAATACTCCCTCCGTCTCATAATATAAGGGATTTTGGAGAGATGTGACACAACCTAGTACTATGAATCTGTACATAATCTTTATCCAGATTCGTAGTACTAAGTTGTGTCACATCTCTCCAAAATCCCTTATATTACGGGACGGAAGGACTAATATTTATATAATTCTTTTGAATAAGATGAATGATAGATCAAATGTTACGCGAAAAGTCGGCATCATATATAGTTAAAAGTGTACTACTTCCCCGTTACGTAAGGACTTCATTTTTATCTTATCCATTATTTGTGTGTTCCACAAAACCCTACTTAATATATTAAGTTTAAAAAACTGAGGGGCGAATGTATCATATTTAAGAAAATGAACGGCATTTTAGCCTTTTAAGCTTTGTACGAGTGAGATAGACTGAAAAATATTTTTTTTTGGGACGGAGGTAGTACACTCCTAGGAGAGAATTGCTATAAAAACCACCGCAATTTTTTATTGAACAAGCTTCCAAATATAGCTATATATGTTATGGAATAATATTATCCTATATTATCATGGAGGGAATGGAGTTAGCTTTTAAAGTCCATATACACAACTATGAATTTTTCCTATGATGACCTCCCTGGCTTCTTTAGATCTTTGCCATCTCCACAAAGCTAGCCCAACACAACATGCTGAAGCCCACACACAAAGTCTACTACTACTTCTACCATGGTAACCAAAGATGAAGCGGCTACGACCATAGGCCACGCCGTACCTTTTGCCATGCTTCAATACAACCCTGGTACTAGTAAACTATACTATTATCTCTACTTGATATATAAGTCATTTTGATTTTCTTTAAATACAAAATATTGGCTATAATGAAACTAATTTGGTGCTATAGACGTTGCTAAATATTTCTATTAACTTTAAAGGGTTTGACTATAAAAGAATTAGAACAACTTAGGCTCATTTATTTTATTTAACTTCCTCATTTTCCGTTAGCATATTTTTCAAAATGTTAGACGGTGTGTTTTTTAAAAAGAATATTATATAGAAGTTGTTTTAAAAATTAAATAAATCTATTTTTAAATTTGCAATAGTTAATACTCAATTAATCAATTAAGTGTTATTAAGATTTCTCGTTTTGTATGCGCGGAAAATTTTCCATCATTTTAAAGCAACTAACTTGGCTTAATAATATTATACGGAAGGAGTAATGACCAAAGATGAAACTATGACGCACATACAATTTTTCGTTTCTGTCACGCATGGCATGCGTGCGTAAAAAAATTGAAAACATAAGTTCACATATAAAATATTATTTATATTTTATCATCTCATAACAATAAAAATATTAATTATAAAACTTTTTTAAATAAAATAGACGGTTAAAAGTGGGTACGTAAAATTATGGTTGCACTTAAATAAAACGGAGGGAGTACTTAATACTGTATGCAACGTATAATTTCTTTCTGGGGATTCCGGTGATTGGGCGACACGGACACGTCACGTACGCTCGCTAGCTAGCGAGCAGCAGGTCGAGGACAAACCCGTCGACACCGAACGATCAATCAATCATTTCTGGATCCCCAAGCTTGCAGCTAATCAATCAATCAATCAGCTAGGGTGCGTCATCCACGCGTAGCGAAAGAGTTAACGAGAAACACATGCAGTGGGACCGGGCCTATACTGAAACTATGCACGTCATGCGCATGACTAGCTACCTGCGACCTTGCAGCGAGTAAAATTAAACCCATTCTCAACACTTATTACTCTGCTCCCTCGGCCTTAAAATATAAATATTTTTAAAATAATATAAATATATTAAGAAAGTATATGTGAATGGTTAAAGGAAATATGTGAATGGTTGCTTAATTAATTAATCACGTGCTAAATGATAAATGTGTGAATGATTCTATATTTAAAATAACACAAATCAAATATAATATTAATAAATAAACAATCGATGGTTCGACTGATGAACCGACGACCAGAGCAGGTCGATCTCTGGTCCGATTTTTGTACGAACAAGGCCTACCTGGGTGAAAAATCACGCCAAAAATACACTGGGCACGCACGCACCGGCATGCGGGACAGTTTTGCGTGGCTTTCTGTCTCGCGCAGTCGAGCAGACGACGGGCTTCTCCCGTGCGACTGTAGTTGTGCCACTGATGCCCGAGGGATCCAAATGCCCCGTGCGCGGGCACGACCAATTAATTTTTCCCTCTACTATTGGTCGGTACTCTGATCGATCCACAGCAACCAGGTACGCATGCACTAAGATCTATACTTATGAGTCATGTCCTGTCTGTTTGGTAAAGTTTCATATCTGAGATTTCCTTTTTAAAGCTGGGTAATCTTAGCTCAAAAAAACTATGGATTTGGATTTGTGTTTGGATTAATATTTCTTTAGAAGATCTTTTGTTCGCATTTTGTAGGGGACATGAAGTTTTAAACCACTATAATTTATTTTATAAACTCTAAATTAAGTATAGGCTGAGTTTAGTTCCAAACTTTTTCTTTAAACTTCCAACTTTTCCATCACATCAAAACTTTCCTACACACACAAACTTCCAACTTTTTTGTCACATCGTTCCAATTTCAACCAAACTTCCAATTTTAGCGTGAACTAAACACACCTATAGTAGGAATTTGAGATATGGAACTATGTCAGACATGATCTTGCTATACACGGCTCTATAAATAGGTAAAGAAGTGTTTTATAGATGATTATTTCTTTGTCGAGGTAAGAAAGAACACCGTCTGTGCCAAAATGATTTTAAAATAAGGCATTTAAAATGTTTCTTATTTTCGTGTTGCATCTTTTCCATCTCTGCCTCCGTTTCTATGTGGGCAGATACCCCTATATATAGAAAATGAAGAGGAGCCAAAAATATATAATGAAGAGGAGCCAAAAACCTAGCTTACTCTGAAGACCGATTCAATAGGTTACACTCTATAACTAAATAAATTGTTAGCCTGATTTTATATAGGGACAACTATTATCTTCCAAAGTTTTACTAGACGTTCGATAGGGGTAAGTTGTGAAATGATTGAGTAGTCCCATTCTAAAGCACGGCAAAAATTTCTACATGATACTCAAAAAGTATGGTTTTTGCTAGGGGACATTATAGGAATGTGAAATTGCTCCCGAACACTAAAAAACACATAGTAACTTGCCACATGACACCTTGAGCAGTAAAATACATTATTCACTTAGTCGAGGAGAGAAAAATCATGTAAAATATCCATTTTACTCTCTATTATTCCTTCTCAACCTAATGTCATGCAACCGTTGTCATGTTTCCCTACTTGGCTGCCGCCATGGTACTCGTCATCCTATAGTGCGATCCTGGCCTCCAAGTCAAGATTCGCCGCCACCACACTACCCATGCTTCCTCAATGTCGGTAGCTCTCGCGCTTCTTCCTTCACGTCATGTCATTGACTCCTGGATATGGATCTCATGATGTCGGTGGCATTGAGATCCTCCTCAAGCCATCGACCTTCCTTGACTTCGGCTCGATCTGCATCGACCTCAGCCAACAACCCTGTCCCCACCTTCTCCATCACGACAACCTCCACTCCGCTTCTTCCCCGTCACTGGATCCCACCCCTTTCCCCCTCCCCCGACTATCCGATGCGCTGCCAGGAATCGCCGGTGCACGGGGAAGGGGCATCCCCGCCATTGTGAGCTTCTTCCTTAGTTTTTTGTAGCAAAGCCGCCGCATGGGGAGGGGGTGCGGTGACCTTTGCATGACATTGGCCTCGCCTTGTCGCCCACTACCTCGTTGGCCTCTTCGCTGTCGGCGCACTCTCCCTCGCTCGTCGTCTCTCCTACTCCCTGCCTCATCTCGTCGTTTGCCGCCCCTGACCTCCCCATCGACAATCTTTGGATGGTTTGTTTCTGCCACCACTACCTTTGGATCCAACTAGTTGCTCTGCCCCGACGACCTTTATTGGCACCGCCGCCTGCTGGCTTGCTGGCTTAGGATAGAATTTTGGTCCCAAAGGCAAAACTGCTATTTTACATAAGTTCTCTCCCCGAAACAACAGATAATCGTGAAATTACCATCAAATTTACGTTCTCGTGGAGTCCCAGCAAAGACCATAATTGTTTATGACATGTAAGGCAAAATTTACGTAGAAACTTAGAATGTTGATTTCGCTAAGAGTTTTGTAAGAAAAGTCGCGCGTGTGATGTGACAATCCAAAAGAACTGACCCCCCGGGCTGGGCGGCCGGGCTGTGGCTGACTGGCTGACTGGCTGTGGCCTGTGGGACACTATCAACCCTGCATCTTCTGCATAGGCCTGTAGAGGGGCTAGGGTTTTCGCATGCATGCGTCGTCAGCAACTGCGAGCGGAGCAGATGCAAGAGCAGGACACACACTACACTGCCTGCGTCTTTCGCGCGCCCTGGTGTCCGGGACCAATGCACATGAATGCGTGCATGTTTACATGGTCCCTAAAAATTAATTTAGCAGCTGTGACTATATCAATATGAATGTACTCATTTTTAGGAGTACGTAGTACTACTAATAATGGAGTTCAGTAGTACTCCTACAGCTTGCACGCCTTAGGGCAATCCCAACCCTCCACCTAGGATGGTGTCTATGGCATTAACTACATTGCTATGTAGGACTTTTAACTTATGTGGTATTATATTAATTAAGAGAGAGAGTGAAGAGAGAAAGAAATTGGGTCTCATGCAAGACACAGCTTCAACACGAGAAACTATGCACTAGACACTATCAAGTTTTACATTGGGAGATAATAGTGTCTTCATAATAGATGAAAAATAAATATGTTGGTAGAGAAGAGAGATGATGCATTTATTAATGGCCCACTTTAAGAAACCATGGGTTGTAGAGTGTAGTTTCTATTGTGATGTCTTATTGACGTGGCACCATAGACACTGCTTATGGACACTATGGGTTGGGACTGCTAGTTTTCTTAGAGTATCACCAATGTATATGACAAAGTGATCCATATAGATGTGACCCACATAAATAGTTTTTCCCTATGGCAATCTCCACAATGTATATAGATACAAGGTATCAATAGGAAAAGAGAGAGGAGTAGAGATAGATAATATAATTTATTCCATATGGGTAGTCCATATGCATATGGGTATCTTTTGTTATTTTTTCCATATGGACGAGTTGCACAATGGTTATAGATGGCTGAATGAAATATTCTATTGCTTATGGACTACTTTTACACCACATTATGGATGCCCTTAATTAATTTGACGCATAGCGTTCGTGCGTTATAGTATCTGGTAAATTGCGATAACACCGGGTGCTAGTAATAATTAAGTTATGAATGGCAGGATTATTACTTGATAACTTCAGCATCTAGTCTGACAGTAATTTGATGGCACAGATTGACACCGAACGATATGGTTGGTATTGTAAACTAGTTAACGGAATCGCTAAGTGGCAAGATGTTCTTCTGAATCCACTCATGATTCAGTAGTAAGGAGACTGAGGCATGGCCCAAATGTCCGACGATTTTGTTATTAATTTTTCGATCATTTTTTTAAAAAAATTGATGATGTAAATATAATAGAATTATAGTGTAATTACATTGCAACTTATATGTAATTATAATATAACCTCTAAGTACTTTCATATAATTTTGAATCAAGGGATCTTTCAAGATTCATGAAAGTGATAAAGAAAAACCCACACATGTAAGGAGATTCGGTCCTTACGACCTCCATTTCATAAAAATAGCATGTTATTGAGATATTTTTGAAAGTTATATACAAGTTACTACCTCCCTCCTATGTAATTATAGGTTGTTCAGTACTATATTAAGATTTGATAAGAAAGATTATGGCACCTCTCATTAAATGGTGATTAAATGGTGTATAGGTAAGAGTGAGAAGGTGTTTGAGGGTAGAATAAGAAAATTTTTGAATGAGAAATGATTGATGAGATAGTTAATATTTTAACAACTATTTTAGGATAAATTAAATCCTAGAGATATAATTATTATGAGAAAAAGATAATACATTAGAGTTACATGCAAGTTAGTGATTATACTATATTTATAATATCTATCGGAAAATTTGTCGAGGTAGTCACGATGTCCGAATGGAAAAAATGAAAGTGAATGCTGCTAACTAACACTGACAAGTGGGCCCAAAGCCTGAAACGGCCACATCCAGCCCAATATGTGTTTCTTATTCTCCCGGCCTGTTCCGACCCAAATCCTTTCTGTCCACCTTAATGGGCCTACATTGCTGCCAATTTGGGCCGGAAGTAGGATGGGCCCATGTAAGCCCAGCCCAAATGACACGGGCGGCGCGGAAACCGACAGCGCCGCTGAGGCGCAGAGTCCAAGTCGCCATTTTATTTTTTTTTCTCTCGCTTAAACCCTCCACTAAAAACCAAAACCTAAACCCCACCCCCGCGATTTCTCTTGACTCTATTTTTTTTTATTTTCTCTCGTCTCCTCCCCCCTTTCCTTCTCTCGCAAGCCGCGGCGATGGCGGCCGTGACCCGCGCGGCGAGATCGCGCGCCCTCCTCCTCCTCCCCCGCGCCTCCGCCGCCGCTCCCCACTTCTCCACCACCGCTTCCTCCGGGGCGGCTGCGGCGGCGGCGGCGCCGGTAGAGGCTGCGGCTGCGGGGGCGTCCGACGCCTCGGCCGCTGCCGCGGCTGGCGCGGGGGAGCAGCCGGCGCCGCCGCCGAAGCGGTGGGGCCTGCTGAAGTTTGGCGCCTTCGCGGCGGTGTGCGGGGCTCTCGGCGCCGCCGGGTACTCCAGCTACGGTATGATCCCGCGGTATCCCGTCGCGATCTCGCGCGAGGAGGGAGGGTGTTCTGTTTTGGGCGTTTTTTGGTTTGAGCATGTGGCGCGTTTGACTTGTAGTGCTGTGTGTGTCTCCGTCTCGTTTGCGTGCAGCTTATACGCTTGAGGAGGTGGATCAGAAGACGCGGGAGTTCAGGAAGGCCATGACTACGCCGCGCCCCGTTGCGGAGGACGCCTCTGAATTTGAGGTAGTGTCATCTTAAGATATTCGGGGTACCAACTCCATGTATAAAGGAGTGATGGTTGCTTATTAATCCTATGATGCGATATTGTAACTTTGTAAGAGTGTAACACCGGGGTATGGGAAGGAGGGTTCTATTGGCACCTGAGCTGGGAATTTAAGTATTTTACCCTGAATATATTATTGTCAGCTCAGTTTGTTGTAATGCATGAAAGTAATATATCAAAAGTAAGGTCCCGAAGCAATTGCTAATTTTAGTGTTCTTATGCCTTCACTAAAACTTTGCACAAATGATAATGTTAAGATGGATTTGTTATGAAATAGAAACATGCAGTGAAAAGTGATTGCCTCTTCGTTGGTTTAGATCAAGAGCAAGAACTGTTCTCTGCAGCAAATAGGTTCAATTTGAGTGTGGACTATGTCTAATACTTAATGATTGTGGTCTTTCTTGTGTGCAGAAGTTCCAGGCTATGATTTACTCGACGGCTATGAAAGGTACATTACATGACATACTCCTTTTTTATTATTCTGGTGTCCTTAGGAATTACCACTGCACAGGGCACACTTTCAGAGCATTTGATTGAAGGGTGATACAATTATTCACTATTAAGCTGTATCAATACATTGCATGTATGCTACTGTAGGTAGTCAGTGATTACAGAATTGCCCTCAGTGAATGCAATGGAAGAACAATGGAAATGCTGTTGAATGGTTACAATACATAATGTGTTCATTGTAGGTCATATCCTTTGTGGCAGTATGTAATCCTGCTCTCCTGAAACTGGGAGTGCATAATAAGTTCCTTAATATATAGATTTGTTTAAATCCTTATAAAAATAATCACCAAATGATCCTTTTAGCTTTTAGGCGTTTACCTAATTGCTTTATACATATTATTATTCTAAGCTTGAACATATTTATGCTCCAGATTATTTGTTGAATTCAATCTTAGTTTGTTGATTGCATTTTTTTTTTCTGTTTGGCACCTTCTTAATATTGATGTTAGACATTTTGTTATTGTAGCTCCTGTTGCAGCAATAGAATTCTACATGGATGTTAGACACACAATTGAGGACCATATTCGGGTTAGTTACAAATCATAAGCTTCTCAATGTTCTTTATAAATGTTTCCAGTAAATATTTACAACTGACTAGCTATGTCTGTTTCAGGGCTTTGCTGAACCCACGTCAGACAAACTGCTACCGGATCTTGATCCTCTAAATCAGCATATCTTCACTCTAGTTCTTGATCTGAATGAAACACTCGTTTACTCTGATTGGCTGGTATAGTGAAGAAGATAATTCAGTCCTTTTGTTTATTGTGAAAAATCCGTTTTGAGTGATATGATCTAAGCATTGGACCTGATGTAGAAATAACTTATGTTATTTTAGTCCAGACAGTGATTCTTAATCCCACCATACAGGCACACAGGAAAAAATATATTCTAATAAGAAATTGAGATAAGACTGTTGGATGAATTGGAGAACGAAGTTTGTTCTACTTATCAGATATAATATGCTATGAAACTCAGTGGGGTCGATAGTGTTAGGCAAAGTGTGGTATGGAAATCAGTATTGCATGTTGCACATGATAATTTACCACAAACATGGTCAAGTTGAAGTGGAATTTGGTTCGCTTTACCCTGCTATATAATTTTTATTACAGCATAATATTTATCCACCATCTGACACTGTCTAACAAATGAGTTATTATACACACTATATGAAAACTGACAGTTTTGCCATATGTTAATTACATATTATACCTTTTTGTATTTTCTTCATTTCCATTAACACGTTATTTTCATCTTTCCAACGTGTTAGGAAGATGTGCATTGTATTATTCATAATGAAACAAATATGTTGTGTTACCAGAAATTGGTTCTCTGCTTAGCTGTTTCATTGTTTGTACTTTGGAGTGGAGCTTCCTCACCAGATTCTCCACTTCCTTGAAATAACACAATGGAACGAGTGTTGACATCAATTAGAATCATGTCCATGTGTTTTCATGGTCTCCTTTTGAAGGCCCATGCTTAAACTGCTTTGCTATTTCTTGTATGTTTTTACTGTGTTATCCAGAAATGTCATAATAGTATTGTTTCTTCTTGTACAGCGTGAAAGAGGATGGAGGACTTTTAAGAGGCCAGGAGTTGATGCTTTTATAGAACACATGGGGAAATTTTATGAAGTTGTTGTGTATTCTGATCAGATGCCTATGGTAAGTTGATCTTAACTGTCTTTGAATGTTTTGTGTTTTAGGGTGTTATGCCATACTGATTTTCCATAATATAATTTTATATGTGCAGTATGTTGATCCTGTGCTTGAAAGGCTGGACACAAAGGGTTTCATCACAGGCAGGTTGTCAAGACCTGCAACTAAGTATCAAGATGGTAAACATTATCGGGTAAGGATACTGGGTGGATGATTGACTTATGGCTCTCAACAATGAAGTGCATTCCTTGATGATTGTCTAGAGAGCCCCACCTGAATAGTGTATCATACATTTTATATTTTTATTCATCATCCCATCTCCATTCTATCATCTTTTTTGCAGTTTATGTACTCCAAAATAAGCACGTAGAGTCTCCCGAAATCCCTAGTTAAAGTGAGGGACTCTGCCATCAAAGCATGTAAATGAGCATCAGCATAGCAGTATCATCTTAGCAATCTTTATATTGTAAATGAATACTAGTGTCTTGATTATAGAAAACCTTTCTATGTGTGGCGCATACTTGTTTGCTGCTTTAAATATTTCAGTCTTTGGGATATTGTTGCTGATGGTTGGTTCTGCACCCCATCCTTCCCCATTGCCTAATCATGTCAAATGTGCCTTCATCCTCTGCATGGCTCCTGAACTGCTGGTTCCTCACCTAACCAACATTATAGCTTATATTCAATATGCTATGTATAAAGATAATTATTCTGTTTCAGCACATGTACACCCTGTAGTCTTTTCTAAGAAAAATGTTACAACACATCTAACTAAGGCATGGTGTAGTGTCAACTTCCGTTTCGTACTGTTTGGTGCTTTACCTTTTAATATATTTTTTTTATCATGTTTTACCAGGATTTGTCAAAGTTGAATAGAAATCCTGCACAAGTTATTTACATCAGCAGCCACGCTCTTGAATCTTGCTTACAGCCAGAAAATTGTGTTCAAATCAAACCTTGGAAACTTGAAACTGATGACACCCAGCTGCTGGATCTGATCCCATTTCTAGAGTGTAAGTGTTCCTATCCTTCTCCTGTGATATACTAGCATGTTGTTTTAGGTTCTTCTTTTGTTGTACAATGGAATCAAGTGCTTAAATGTTGACAAAGCCAACATGTACTGCAGATGTTGCCATGGTGAGACCTTCTGATATTAGGACTGTGCTTGCTTCCTATCAAGGTCGTGATGTTGCTGCAGAGTTTATCGAGCGTTCAAAGGAACACCAGAGGTAAGATCATGTTTCTCTCCATGGTAACAGAAGATGCCTGTAACTGTGAATATATATGCATGACTTCTTTACGAGTAATTATGAAAGTAATATGCAGTATTCATTGTAGTTCACTAACTTACGGATGTACCTCATGTGTGGTACATGTTGTGGGGTGACAAGGCACATTTTTAGTCGACATTAAACATTCTTGGTAGAAATAAATTGTAACTAGTACAATAAATCTTATGATTCCCAGCTTCCACAAGGAAAATTTCCCTTCCATATGGTAAGGCTTAAAGAGTACTCCCTCCTTTTGGGATTATAAGTCGTTTCAAAGTCAAACTGCTCTAAGTTTGACCATGTTTGTAGAAAAAAGTCGTAACATATTCAACACAAGGCAAATATACTATATAAAAGTATAGTCAATGAAACTAATTTGGCGTTGTAAATATTACTCCTATATTTGACGGTCAAACTTAGAGTAGTTTGATTTTGACTACGACTTATAATCTGAAACGGAGATAGTATATATTACTTGTTGTGGTTGACTAACCTGGGCTTAGATTTAGTCCTGCCTTTACATAGCCTGATGTATAGTGTTTTCACGTTGTACCAGTAAAGGTTACACTCAAAGAACGAAAGTGGAATCATGCTATGGACATACTGACATTGAAAATTTGTTAGGAATTTTGTAAAACCTAAATTTAGTTGTAAAAGGGAGAAAATGGTGTTCCATGGACCATATGTACTGGTTGAGTCTAGGCATGACCACTATCAAATGTGCACCAATATTCTTTAGTTGGCTATTCTATCGTCTATTAATTGTCGTGACTTGCACATTTCTTGAAGTGTTATGGATTACTAGGATTCGGATGTACCTACATAGCTACATGTACATACATGTGGATGTGGTTTCGTATTTTCCGAAGTAATGCATGTATAAAAAAGGATCCCCAGTAATGCATAAGTAGCGAACCTTTGAGGACTTCTACAGCTTATTGGGATACTTGTTTGAAGCTACAACAATTTACTTAAAGAGATTAGAGTAGTTATTTGATACAAAACTTGTTTCTTGTAAATGACCATTATCTTGCCATCTTACAGGCGTATGCAAGAGCAAAAACAACATGGGCGTATATGGAGACAATAATGGACCTAATCTGCAGGAAGGATGAAGCTCCAATTGATTCATCTATCCTAGTTTTTTGCCTTTATTTTTTTTTTCGGAAGGACGTATTTAGCCTGTTCCAAGCACCTCAAGTCAAGTTGTTGACTGCGATGAAAAATTGAAATGATAACATGTAGTATTGTCAGATTAGGTTGCAAACATTTAGCTAAATATCAACGTTCAAACCACCATTTTGTAGTGCAAGGATGCAAGATTGACCATCTTAGATTGACCGCCTTTTTCTTCAAGAACATCGCTGAATATTTTCAGTGCTGTGCGTGCTACTACTAAATTAGTTGCATGCCAGTAGCTCTCAGCATGCGCTGAAATTTTGCTTTCTTGCATATTTGCTGATAATAGCATCTTCTGAGGTGTGAAAAAACAAAACGTATTCGGCTGGCAACAGCTGTTTCAGCCTGGATCTTTTTTTTTTTTGGTTGTAAATTAGTATATTGCATGATCTGCATGAATTCCTAAGCTGTATTTGTTTCAAAGAGAGTTATATCTTATATTTCGCGATACATATGTATTCCAATTGCAACATGTAGCATTTGTATTTGGAGGGAAGAAGCAACTCAGAGAAACGTTGGCTAGTTTTGTGAACCTCTCAAATTGCAACAATAGTTGTATGCAATACAAACTTTAGGATTAACAGTGAGTACTCTGCTTGTCTTATACTGCTTAAAATCGAAGCTTGCACGCACCAGCAACAGCATGTTGCGAGCGGACGAAGCAAGCCCTTGCAGATCCACGAGGCAGGTGGTCATCGTCGTCGTCGGCGAGCACCACCAACGACGACGAGGCTGCCGCTGCGTTACCATTCCTCTGTTTCAAACAACTGTGGTGGAAGAGGCAATAGAACTACGGGCTGTTTAAATTGATCCTATTTTCAATTATACTTTTTTTTGGGGTAAAGTTGTCAAAAGTGTCTATATTTAGTTTGTTGCTAAATTTTTAGTAAACACATAAGAAATTTTATCAAAATTTTGATAATATTGCTAACTTGCCAAAATTTTAGCAGTGCAAAAATTTAGTAAGGTTTATTTTGGTTATAATCTGAACAACCCCTATATCTCGATTGCCCATTGAATTTCAAGCCTAGCGAGACGTTGAGACCATCAAATTTCTTTTAATGTAATTTGGTTAATTTTGAACAAAACCGTTTAAGATGCACATCTCGAACTTGCTTGAGATACTCGAAATTTGTTGGGAACTCATCAGAGATAGACTGGAGCAGCGGACGGCTCAATCGGTGACTTTAGGGACACTGACATGTAGATCCATGATAAAAATATCTTACATATAGTTTTAAGGTGTGTTTGGTTGTTGGCCACACTTTAAAAAAAAAGTTAGGCAAGTTGTGACAGTTATACAAGTGTGGTGGATAAATTGTTAACCACAAAGTGTGGTAAAGTTAGCAATAAAATTAAGTTTATAGCGTGTGGGACGTGCTATTTGAAAAGTATGACAAACTATAACTGTGACAATGCACCAAACATATGACTAACAAATCATGTGCCAAAAGTGTGGTGCGACAAAACGTGGCGATTAACCAAACACCCCTTGATCCATGGACGACGAGGTCGCTTTTTTCTTGTTGGGCTGGGCTGGGATTCCCAAGAAGGTCTAGACTTCTGGGCCGTGGCTTGTTGGGCCGGAACGGTAGTTCGGGGCTCGAGGCTCGCAGCTCGAACCTTCCTGACACGGTAGCCTTCCGTCCTCCTCCCGCATCGACTCCGGCCGCTCCTCTCCTCCCCTCCCCTCCCCTCCCATGGCGGCGAACCAGCCGGCGGGCGAGGCCCTCGCGGCCAACATCTCCGCCATGTCCCGCCCGGAGATGTACGACCTCATGTCCCAGATGAAGGTGCGCCCCCGCTTCCCCCAACCCTATAGCCCCTCTGCCTCGCTACCTCTGTCTAGGTTTCGCTCGGATTTTTTTTCTCACCGATTTAGCGGTCTCTGGTGCGGCGCCGCCGCCGATGATGCTCGTGTGCAGGTCATGATCGACCACGACCAGGAGAGGGTGCGCCGGATGCTCGTCGACAACCCGGACGTCACCCGCGCTCTCTTCCGGGTGAGATTCCTCGCGTCCTGCGCTTTCAGTTGGTTTTCGTTTATTTATTATCTAGGAGAAAGGTGGATGGGTTGGTGCTTCTCGGGCGCGACCGCTCTCGAAATCTCGAGATTTGTAGGGTTTTGTGAAGTTTCATTCTGGTTATGAAGTGTAAGATTTCGTGTTTGGTTAGTATAGAAAAGAGTAGATTCGTTTCCATAACAAGAGAACCTAGCTCTAGTTTAGTAGTTGGAAATCTCTTAACCGATAAGGGAGAGACTTTTTGCTCATCCAGTTAGGCCAAATTCATGTTGATGTTGGCATCGAGAGATAATGATGGACTTTATGCAGCAAAAACTGTGTTGGCTGCTCTTTGCATGATGAGTTCAGTATTCTAATTAGCACATGGGATTCTAGTGTATTAATGTTGGTAACATGCTATGTTTCTCTTCTTAGTTTTATCATAATATGTTCACCAAGTCCCTGCTGTTTCGATGTGAAATAACCGGATGAAGAAGAATGTCTACTGCATAGTTCAGTATTTTTCTTTTGTTTAGCAAATCATCTGCATTTGAATCGACGGCTTCTTGTATAATATTTAACTATAGTTTCCCAGCAGCTTGTTTCATAACATCCCATTTTCTCATATACACGTTTGTGTTCCAGTTGATCAATATAAATTGTTTGGTGTGGTGTTAACAACCTATGTGTATGCTACATTCAACTGCATTCTCTTGCTCAATCAGTAAATTACAAATATGCATTCATGCAAAATATTTTCCTTATATGCCTTTCTTCTTGCAGGCGCAAGTAGTACTTGGAATGGTGAAAGCTCCTAAAACTGTATGTAACTTGAGTTATTCAAGTTTTCTTTACATTTAGCGTTTGAATTGCTAATAATAAACTGAAATTTATCATCATCATCAAGTTCTTGCTGTATCGCAGGCACAATCTTCAGACAAGGCCCAACCTGCAGCTGTGCAGGCAACACCATCTTCATCAGTTAAACCTACAGTTCAAGATCATTCTAGTTTTCCCCAACCTCAGTTACCTTCCAGTCAGCAGAACATACAACCTTCTGGCCCATTTTCATCTGGTCCGTCTAATCCGGCATCGTCTTTGGACCTCCCAGCTATGTCAGCAAATCCACAACAATCAGCACAAGCGAAAGGTTATCCTATCCATCAAATGCCTCCCACATCAACAACTCAGACATCCCAGCATCAAAGTGCTACCCTACCTCCTCATGTTTCATCACAGTATTCAAATATTCCATCACATATGCCAATAGTTCATAGTCAGCCACAGCAACCTTTGCAAAATCCTGGTATGTTTAACCAACAGTTACAACCACCATTGCCCCAGTTGCCTAGGCCTCCCAACATGCAGCCCTTCGTACACCAAATGCATCCGCAAGTACCCAGTTCATTTGGCTTGAGTCATACAAATGCTCCTCAACACATGTTGCAACAATCAATGTTTCATGTAAGATTCTGGACCAAATCTTAATTTCCTGATAACTTGAAGATATGATCTGCAAACTGACCACCAAAACATATTTGGAATTTCTCAGCCTGGTGGGAACCCACAAACTTCCTTCCTTACAGGTCAACCGCCATTGCCTAACCAGCCACCGCCATTGCCTAACCAGCCACCACCCCAGCTATACCAGGTACAGTTTCTTGTCTACTAATAGAAGATATGGTCAGTGTTAATATTTTGTTATCTTCCCTTGCGCATTAAAGTTGATGTGTTTGCTCAACATTTGCTATTCAAGGTTGGATGTATGAACTACATTGATGAAGAAAAATGTGTTGTTTATTTGTTATCATCAGATCACAAGAGTTTTAGCTCTTGAAGTATCATGCAGATATAAGTATTGTGTCCAATGTTTAGTACCTACTGCTATGATGGTGTGGTTATTTGATGACTGACAGTGGGATCTTTTATCTATGGAGCACTGACCTGTGATCTACACTACTCTTTAGTTATATGAATGATATTTCTTATCTTTCATCCTATAAAGATGTACTGTTTGCATACAAGAGGCCTATATAAAATGTTTGGTAACATTATCATCTACATCTGCTACTTGGACAGCTTTACTGTTGCACTCTTGATGTGATGTGATCATCATATGCTTAGGGGTAAAATAACTCGTGCAATCTTTGTGTTTTAACAGGGTAGTTCACATGCTGCCTCACACTACAATTCTCAAAGTATGCAAATGGATAGATCAACTCCATGGGGGCGTGGTAACGCAGAAGCCTCTTCAGCTGGCACCCATTTCCCTGGGCATTTGCCTGGCTTGCCCGGACAGATGACCCAAGGAATTGGTGGTATCCATTCGGCTCGCCCTGAAGCACCTGTAAGTGCCTGTTGTTAACTATTGGAGTTGTCTATGTTGTGTTTTCTCCCTTTCCCATAGAATGAACTATTCACATGTTTGTCTTTCAATCAGTTGACGCCTGAGATGGAAAAGATGCTTGTACAGCAAGTCTTGAGTATGTCACCTGACCAGATCAACATGCTGCCTCCAGAACAACGACAGCAAGTGCTTCAGTTACGTGATATGCTACGGCAATGACACATCAGCTGCTTATGAGTAGAAGAATTCCATTCCAACAGAGCCCTTCGGATCAGATCTGTTGTCCATGCTCAGCTTATGCTTTGACACCCCTTCTGAGCAGCCACCGTTCAGCTGATTGACATCTCGACTAGTTTGCAGCTTACCTTGAAATGTTGTTGTACAATGCCAGTCTGTCATTAGTTACGGTAGATGTTTGAACATGCATTATGATTCATGACTGACAAAGTGACAAGGGAACATCATGCTTTTGCTACTTATCCTACCGCAATTTCATAAGCCATATGTTCAATTGATGATTGAATTACTGTGTATTTCTATTTATGTGAGTTAATTATATAGACCTCTCTTTTTTTTTATCTCGTTTGTCAACTATTGTGAATCTGTGGTGTAATTGACTCTTTATTTTCATTGCAATTGTAGCAAGTCATTAGTACTTCTTTTTTTGCTACGTTATCGGCTTATCGCTTATTTCTGCCATGAAAACCCCAGCATTTTTGCAACATGTGCTTCACATGGTACTTATTTTCTACCTAAAAACGCAACGCAAGCACCACTTTTATATGTATCCACTATCCACTTTGCATTGTTTCCGAATTTTATATGTACACTCATATTGCTTCACAAACTTAGACGCATCCATTCATCAACGATTGCTTCATCATACTTTAAACTAATTCGCCCCATACACTAAAATATTCACTGATAATATTTTCAAGATATTATCAATATCAAGATATGGTAACCTAGTCTTCCACTATGGCAACTTCGTAAATTTCAAAATATATCAGTGTAGCCTTTCAGAGATATTTATAGAGATAAGGTGACCTGCGTTTTCAGAGATAGTTGTACATGTGCTGTGAGCATCTACGTTTTAACGTATTTCTTAAAGTAAGGGCCCCTTTGAATCGTAGGATTGAAAAAACAGAGGAATATTAAAAACACAGGATTCTAATAGGAATGCAAGTGTAAAACAGAGAATTGCAAAACACAGAAAAAACACAGGAATAGCCGTTTGATTAGACCGTAGGAAAAATACAGGAATCAGATGAGAGAGATAGACTCAAGGAAAGTTTTCCAAGAGGTTAGAGTGGATGCTAACTTTCCTACGTTTTTCTCTAGAATCGTAGGAATAGGAAAGTTTCCTATGTTTTTCCTTTTCTCATTCCTACGAATCAAAGACATGAATAGTGTAGGATTTTAATTCCTTTATTTTTCCTCCATTATTCCTCCAATTCAAAGGAGGCCTAGTATTTGTGGATAAACCCTTCGTTTAGGACAAGTAATATGATGCTTAATGTATTGCCCTTAAAACGGCCATGTAAGATTGGATGATAAGGTGGAAGTAATAATTAAGGAAAGAGAAGGTGAGCCACCCCTCATACAAGAGGCAACCTCCACACAAACCCCAAGAAAAAGGAGATGAAAGAAAGAGGGGATTGGACAAACAAATAAAATAAAATTATTTGGGTTAAAATGATAGAGGTGGTGTAGATGTGGTGTATTATATATATCACATTTTATCTTACATGGATAAAATTAGATGTGACAACTACCCATTCTATAAAACTTGCCCTTAATGTTTTTTCCATGGGAATATTCTTCTGACAAGTGACTCCCACCCTCGACCCTTCCGTCAGCGGGAAATTTAACTATTTGCCACTCTTGTGACATGGCAATTAACGATTTGCCACACCCTGTCAATGACATGTGGGCCCTCATGTGTCTATGACATGTGGGCCTAGTGGCAAATTATTAAGCAACATCCGTAAGAGTGGCAAATAGTTAAAAGCCCCTCCGTCAGCCGTCACGGAGCCAGTCTAAACAAGGAGGCTACGATCTCAATTCTCAAGAAATTTCCACGGGGAAAACGACGCCTAATCACCGTGTTTTGTTTCGTCTCGTAATCCTCCTTTGGCTTCTTCCTCGGTTCCTCCTACTCCTCCATCCTGTACACAGGAGAGAGGAGCAGGAGCCCTCCTGGCCAATCAGCTCTCGGCTCTCCCCCTCTTCTTCCTTCCAAGCAACAAAATCCTACGCGGAAAAACCATCCAAGAACCACATTCCCGTCGTCAAAAACAGCCCGAATTGTAGGGGAAAGTAGCCCCGAGAAGCGACGATCTTGGAGGGAAATCTGGTGTGGAGTTCGGATCGTTCAATCCGCGGATGGAAGGAGGAGGAGGAGGAGGGCAGGAGTTGTCGACGGACAACGTGAAGGGGATCGTCCTGGCGCTCCTCTCCAGCGGCTTCATCGGCGCCAGCTTCATCATCAAGAAGAAGGGCCTCCGCCGCGCCGCCGTCGCCTCCGGCATCCGCGCAGGTCGCCTCCCCAATCCCGATTTCCTGTTCTTTTTTCCTTTTCGTTTTCTGAAGCTTACTTTTCTTGGTTGGTTTTGTGCAGGGGTTGGTGGGTACTCGTACCTCCTGGAGCCTCTATGGTGGGTTGGCATGATCACCAGTAAGGTTTTTCTTTTTCTTTCTTCGATTTCAGTAGAGCAGATGAAGAGCAATGTTTATTGAGTAGTGGGTGATTCTGAACTAAGTTCTCTCCTTTCAGTGATTGTGGGAGAAGTTGCCAATTTCGTCGCATACGCCTTCGCTCCCGCGGTTCTTGTTACTCCTCTTGGAGCACTGAGCATAATTGTTAGGTGAAGTACTACATACATACAGCAAGCTGTAATTTGTTTTTGCAATTGTGTATTGGAAAGTGTGATACTGAGAGTAGTGTGTGTATTTGGCGGTGTCTTCGCTTTCAGTGCAGTGCTGGCACATTTTATCCTGAATGAGAGGTTACACGCGCTTGGTGTTCTTGGTTGTGTTATGTGCATCGCGGGATCAGTGGTGATTGTTATTCATGCTCCTCAGGAGCAAGAGATTACTTCAGTTAGAGAAATCTGGAACATGGCGATACAGCCTGGTGAGAATTATCGTTTTATCATGGGTGTGATTCTGTTTGTAAGCAAAGTATTAATTCCCGGTACCCTTAAAAAACGATTTGTTCTTGATATAAGGAAGTGATATCTGTTAATTGAGATGTTTCCATCATCCTTTGCAGCTTTCTTGCTATATGTTGCTTCAGTTATAGTGGTGGTCTTCGTGCTAGTGTTCCATTTCTCCCCTCTATATGGGCAGTCAAATGTGTTGATCTACACTGCCATTTGCTCTTTGATGGGTTCTCTTTCGGTAATGTCACTTATACCATCAATTGCAGTATTCTTGGTTGTTTTATGTTTTGAATGACTTTACTCTCCCTAATGGTCTGCTAATGTTTGTCCATATATTCAGGTAATGAGTGTTAAAGCTCTTGGTACATCCTTAAAGTTGACGTTTGAGGGGACAAATCAGTTGGTATATCCAGAGACTTGGTTCTTTGTGCTTATAGTGGCCACTTGTGTGCTAACACAGATGAATTACTTGAACAAGGTCTGTTTGTTAATGCCCTTAGGGCACTGATACCATAGGTTTGTGATATTTATATGTTCTTTGTCAAAGTACTCCAGCTAGTCAGGGATTGATTAATAAAGCGCCAAATTTGAATATAAAGAATTATTGCTATATCATATACTATGTCAAAAGCAGTATTATGTCACTCTTATCAACAACTGAACAATAGAATGCTTTTCACAAATTTGTGGAGATATGTTTTGTTGGTATCATGTAAACCTATTTAGATTAGTCTTACTTCACCATTCCATTCTAGCTACTGGTTCTATTGTTGTTATCAATTCTATGACTTCTGCTTTGCATTATCTGGATAACCAGTTAGAGGCAAAATTCCCCTGGCGTTGCATTGATAACACTTGTGTCAGTGTCTAAAATTGTAAAATTCGTATCTTCAACATCATTCTTTCGTCATGCAGAGTATTATGGTAGAAAGGTTTTATTGTATTAGCAGCATTCACATACTTACAGTGTAACAGAATAACTGTACTTTTTCTCGCCAGGCACTTGATACATTTAATACTGCAATTGTATCTCCAATCTATTATGTAATGTTCACAACACTAACAATACTTGCAAGCGTCATAATGTTCAAGGTAATATAAGTTCTTTTGTTTCCTTGTACTGCAGCCATTCATTTGGTAGATGATTTGAATGCCCAAGTTATTTTCTGAAAGAAACTGAATATCCTTGATTTCTAGTTAGCTTCATCTCTTGCTGGGACCCTTTTCAAAAGCTTCCTATCACTGCCTTTGTTTCTTATGTACACTTCAACTATGTACTAAAGCTACTGGCACTACACCTTATTACAGCATTCATGTTACTTCAAATTAAAAACCATACCCACACCATTTTAGTATCTGCTAGGAGCGCCATGAATCCCCTTGAGATGAAAAGGTTAGAAAAAAAGGATTTGGACCCATGTAGGAGTAAATGTTTTCACCGTAACTCCAGTTTTTTTTTCGCTTCAACCAACTGGGCCTATGTACATCGGAAAATATTGATGGAACATATCTTTGATGGATTGAACAGAATACTTTATCTTCTTGTGTTAGTTGGCAAGTATAAAATTTGTCTCAGCTTATACCTGAAGCTCACTGGAGTAAAACGAAATCATACTATCTTCACTAATTTTCCATCAACTTCGAGATTTAAGGGTTGACATTATGAGCTAACCCAATTTCCCACTCTACTCTAATAATTGGTGCAGGATTGGTCTGGTCAAAGCCTTGGAAGCATTACTTCTGAAATCTGTGGTCTGATTGTTGTGTTGTCTGGTACCATTTTGTTACATGTGACGAAGGATTATGAAAGGATTCCGCAATCAAGAAGTTTGTAACCCTAACAATCCCTTTCTACATGGCATCAGACATTCAGTCTCCTTTCAGTAATGCCTATAATCACATAAATTTTCTCACGATGTAGGTATATACGCACCATTGTCTCCCTCCTTGACAGCAAGATTAAACGGAGACTTACTGAAGCACGTCGAGGATGATAGGAACCCCGATGAAGAAAAAGCCTTGAGAAGGCAAGAGATGTACTAGCTCCAGTCTCCTGAAGCTCAAAAAAGGATGAACAACTCCGATTGAGCTAACTAGTGACATCAGTGATTGCTATGGTGTGTTGGTCTGTACATAATCAGGCATCTGCAGGAATTGGTCCAAAGGATTGAAGGTGACTGCCTGCCTGTAAATCTTTGAGGTGGTTTTGGGAGGCTGCAGGTTACTTCCACAGATAGAATTGAAGTTTGGGTGCACAGATTCTTCTCATTTCTCTTCTTTTTCTTCTATCTCTTCTGGTGACGTATCCCCAGTTTTGTCCACGGCATTTCTTTCTTGCCCCTTGTGTAGATTTGAGAGTGAGCTATGGAGATTGTATTGCAACTGTGAATGCTGTACATTATTAGTATTATTGTGAACTGCCGCTCCTGATTCTAATTTGTTCTTTCTTCTCCTGTAAAAGTTTACCAGTACTATGTACTCTTATAGCTCCTGTTTTAAAAAAAAAAACTCTTATACCTAACGACTAACTGATTCAATGATAATAGTTGTATAATGTTAAACTTTTTAGAGGATAGCAATGTACTTAGAGCACTCCTTCCGTTTCAAATTATTGTCCTTGTAGTTTTATCCAAAGTCAAATACTTATATCTTTGACCATCAATTTACAGAAATTCATATATTGGCAGTCAAAGATAGAAGTGTTTGACTTATGACAAAACTAGAACAACAAATAAATTTGAAACTGAGGGGGCAGATAAATTCAGAATTTGCAATAAATTTGAAACTGAGGGGGCAGATGAATTCAGAATTTGCAGTTGCTTAGTTGTAGAGAGTAAAGTTTACAAATAATTTGAAACTGAGGGGAGTATATAGGTGAATTCAGAAGTAACAGTATCGTTGGTCACGTTAGATTTGGGCCGGTTCAGTGAGGCCCATAGGCTTTACAGATGCTAGTTAAATGGGCCAGGCCAGGTCCACTTGCAGAGGAGGCTTCCCCTTCCACAGCTCCCTTCTCCTTGGCTCTCCTCCTCCTCTGTCGCCGAGTGCGCCGCCGCCTCGCTCTCTCGCCGCCGCCGCGTCCTACCGGCCTCCCACCGCGCCGACTGCGCCGCCTCCACGGAGATCACCCGCCTCCCTCTCACACCTCCTCCTGCTCCTGCGCCGTTGGTACCCGCCCGTCCGTGTCCTCCTCCTCTCTCGGATAAAGGTAAATCATCGATCCCCTCCGCTCTTAAGGTTTGGGTTCCATCCGTATTTCGCGCGCTCGGAATCGCGGCAGTAGCTAATCGTTTGGTTTCCATTAGATTGGAGATTCAAAGATGTGTGTTGTTCGTTTTCCTTTGCTATAGCGGTGTTTCGATTAGATTTTTTTTTTTTTAAGATTTAGTGGTAGCGTGGAAGTTATTTGTCGAAATAGCTGTGACATAGATAGTACTTCCCTCTTGCGTCGTCTACTTAGCCATACCTGTACACGAATGAAGAAGAATTTGTTTGAGAAAAAAAGTTTCAGCTTCAATGTCTCATGATATGGATTTTGTATAACTAAACTTGTGATGCATATGCTGCTACATTAGCTGGACATTATCTTCACTGCCTTGTGGAAATCTTACTACCCTTGTAGTTCTAGATCAAGTGGACTATGTGAACTGAATTGGCTGTTCATTAGTTTTGGACCATGAGTCATGTCTCGTGAAGTATTGTGCGTAGAAGTTTTTGGAGTTCAATTTTAAATCTTCTGGTTGTGTATGATCTGCACTGGGCTGAATAATACGCTATTCGAGCACTACTGTTGTTGCTATTGCTATGTGCCCTGTTCAGCACGTGAGCAGGGTCAAGCTAGACAATCCTGCCTTGGATTATATTTCAGTTCCATTTCTGGTTCTTACCATAGCTTGTAAGATCCCGTCGGACACCTAAAATCAGAAGGCTTTCGGTTTTTTACTAAGCTTACTGTATTCAGCAAGATTTGTGCCATTATGATGTAGCTACTGGAAACACCATGGGTCTGAGATTATTCACATTAGCTGAATCTGGCCTATTTTCTTCAAAGTAGTCCGAACTGTGTTGGTTTCCTTTGATCCTTTTATGTACTTTTTCCCCAGGGTAAAACATACTGCTAAGTCTTGAATCTGTAGTTCCACAAGAGATCATATAATTAAGTGAGAAATGTTGGCTGTCTGTGTGTCTTGAATCTGTAGTTCCACAAGAGGTCATATAATTAAATGATCCACATAATTTGAAATTTTATCATGTAGTTCTTGTATGTGATTTTGATCTCTCTGACTTTTGCTCTATGTTTGTTGCTCTTTTTGTTGTGACTACTTTGGTTGGTTAAATATTCCCTACTGATGTTTATGTTTATCCAATTTTCAGTTTCTTTCTTTGGCTTCATAACCACTAGATGGGAAAGGCAAAGCGTGCATCGATTTTTATCAGGCTTGTTTCAGCAGCTGGAACTGGATTTTTCTATGTCAAGCGCAAGAACCCTCGGAGGATCACAGAGAAGCTTGAATTTAGGAAGTATGATCCACGTGTAAACAAGCATGTTCTGTTTACAGAAGCAAAGATGAAATGAGATATGGTAGGCTTATTTATCCCTTCTCCACAATTCGCGAAGCTGAATAACTAGCAAATTTCTGGTGTCAGAAACCTCTGTACTGTTAAGAATGCTACTATTACCCTGTTTTAGATTCCAGCGTTTCATGTAGACGATTCTAATGAGTATGACTTTGATCTTGATTAGCACTGGAATACTATTGTATACCATGTTAGTTATCTTTCTGGAATGAGCTGCAAGCCTGCAAACCAAATGTTTTATTTTTTTAAAAGAAAATTGTTTCCGTTCTAATTGTGTGGTTTCTGAGGTGAATTTGTTTTTTCCGAATCCCAAATTCTCGTGCATATACAGAAGCCTAATTGAAATAAGGCGAAATGATTGTTTAATACAATTCATAACTTCATATCACAGCATCAGAAACAAATACAGTAACATCTAGTAGAGCTATTGCCAGCACAAACTGGGTGCAAGTGCAAACTAATCAATGGTTTAATTTACATCGCATTGACACAGCTTGCTCAAATCAAGGCTTGCAATCCTGAGAGCAAGTGAAAGAATCGAAGAACACACTTAGATCATGATCATGATCCATCATTCCATCCCAATTTCACAAGAACACATACCTACATTCCTCTTAGCCAGGGGCGGATCCAACGTGGGTGCAGGGGGGACTAGAGTCCCACCCACGAGACCCATGGATACCCCGGAGCACCCTCTTCAATTTTCTCACCATGAATGATAAACTAAATGTCTCTAGATGGCTGGAGGTTGAAAAACTGTGTAATTGCCCAGCTAGAGGCTAGAAGCCTAGAACTACTTGCTCTGCTCGATGCTCTCATGAATACTCTGGTTTGAGGAAGAAGCCGAGCTGCTGAAGCAGGCCGCCGCTGCCGCGGCGCAGGCTATCCTGGGATTTCTCGGTGCTGACGATGTACTGCGTCTCGAAGAGACCGAGCTGCATCATGTCCGTGGCGGCGATGTCGTCGCGGATCGGCCGCGCCGCCCTCGCCATCGCCTCCAGCGCCTCCCGCGCCGCCCTCCTCTCGAGCTCTCGCCGGAGCCTCTGCTTCTCCTTGGCTATGGCGATCAGCTGGCTCGTCTGTGTGGCTGGAGGTGATGCCGCCGCCGCCACCAATGGCGTCGTCGCCGTCGCCGCGGCTTCGGTGGGAAGACATGTCGTGTCCGGTTTCTTGCTGCTCTCACCGTCGTCGCCGTCGTCGTCGTCGTCGTCGCCGGAGTAGTTTCCCAGTGAGGGTTCATCGCTGCTCGGACTGATGCTCGATTTAGTGGCTTCCGGGAAGTTCTCGATTGCGACCGGGGAGGCTTCGCCGGAGATGTCGACGAGCTCGTCGTCGTCGTCGTTCTTGGCGAGCGGTGAGGACTGAGCCTTGTTCACCACTAGAGGAGAGATGGCGCCGCCGCGGGGGATGTCGATGTCGATGTCCAGTGCCGCGCCATGATCGTCGGCGATCTCGCCCTCCTCCCGCTCGCAGAGCGACGGCGACGCGTCCATCGCCGGCGCGATCTCGCCGTCTTTGGCCTGGCATTGCGGCGGCGCGCCCGCTGCGGCCTCGATCTTGCGCGGTTCGGACTCCGCCTCGTGCGGCCGCCGGCGAGGAATCTTCCTCGCTCGATCGAACACCTCGCGATCGCTGCTCCGGCGGCGGCGGCGATCCCTCTCTCGATCGAGCTCCTCGCAATGGCTGCGGCGGCTGCGGCTGCGGCGGCGATCCCTCTCTCGATCGAGCTCCTCGCGGTCGCTCCTGCCGCCATGGCGGCGATCCCTCCCTCGATCGAACACCTCGCGATCGCGATCGCTCCTGCCGCCATGGCGGCGATCCCTCCCTCGATCGAACACCTCGCGATCGCTCCTGCCGCCATGGCGACGATCCCTCGCTCGATCGAGCTCCTCGCGATTGCTCCTACCACGGCGAGGAGGCGACCGGACTCGTCGTGGGGAGCGCTTCGCCACCGCCGACGCCGACGCCGCCGCGCTGCCATTGACGTCCTCGCTCGCCACGGCCACCAACGCCTCCGCCTTGCCGAGGAGGCCACGCACCGCGTCAATCTCCTCCTGTAACCGCCGCTTCATGTCTCGCCGGCAGGGCACCACCGCGGCCGCCGGAGAAGCCTCCATGGAGCCTGACATGGCTACCGCCGCCATCGCCGCCGCCGCCGCCATTGGAGCTTCGACTTCCGGTGGAAACGAGGGCACGAGGCGCAGGTTGAATCCACCGCCGAGCATGCTACGTTGCTACGTCTTCCATGCGTGGTTGCTATTAACGGACGCCCGTCGGAGTCCGAGTTTGAGTTTGAGCGGGAAAAGCTTGACATGTCCGAGAACGATACGGATTCGGATTCTGATTGTTCGTCGGATTCTACAGGCAAATCGAATGCCGAATAAATGGGAGAAAAATAAAAAAAATAAACAAAGATACAGATACGGATTATGCTTGTTCGTCTAATTTTGCAGGCATATAAACTGTGCCAAAATAAATGGTAGAAAAATCAACAAAGAAGCAATTCCTGAACGTTTTCAGTTTCAGAATCGCCATTGTATTACAGAAGCATATGAACCTTCGTATGATGTAGAAGAGGAATGCATTTTTGAGTGGGATCAGAATCTGCAGCCGTTATTAATAAACAGTAGGAGAGGAACGTTTGATTGTAAAACAATCGTAAACAGAAGATCGGTGCAGCTTTCGTCAGTCACCAAAAAGCTTCTACATCTCGGAAATCAAAAATCATTTTTGGGCACCATAGAAACGAAATCTCGGAAATTGCCGAAATTTCGGTTGACAGGATATTGTAATGGGTATCGAAATTCCCGAAATTGCAGAAATTTCATTATGGAATGTTGAACATGTCATGAATCATATGAAACGGGATCATCAGTTTGAACGCTGAATCTACTTGCATTGCTCCAATTCTGCAGGCAAAGCCTAGAGCCTGGATCATAGTCCCAGAGCCCAGAGGCCATCTGGCGATGCAGCTTCTTCCTCCTCCCATTCACCCAGTTGTTGTGTATGATCACACACCCAAGCTCCCTGCAAGCTGAGCTCACACCATGCTTCTTCTCCCAGAGGCCACCGTAAGCTCCATTGGGGAACATGTCCCGGCTCAAGAACACGATGGTGAGGTTCGTGCTGGGCTCCAGGCATCTGTCGTCGCCAATGCGGTTCGCGCCATCTTTCCCGCACAAGATGTCGTAGAAACTCGGTTGCTCGGATAGCCCTGAATTTGTTGCATGTTTTACTATCATCTCCATTGCGGTGATGGTGGCGTCGTCTGATCGCGCGTAGTAGAAACCTGAATTCAGCCGGCGTGGCATGTTTATGGGTCCTGTAAAAAATGAGAAAGAGTTCTGATTATGTTACGAGCAAGGAGTACATTATCAGGAAAATCTAACAAATGGGAGACTAAATTGAACAGTAGAGAAATTTGTATAATTTACCAGTTTGATTGAATTCATCTGATTGTGCTGCAAATGTGCCGGGGCCAAGAGAGTGCAGGAACGACACTGGATTATGGAACCAATACACATCGACATCACTCAATAGTACATTGTATCCCAGTCTTAAAATCTTCAGAACAATCCTTGATTTGACTTTGGTCACTTGCTGAAAACACTGGGTTCCAAAGTGGCAGTCATCAAAGCTGACATTATTTGGTGATAATGTATCTCTGGAAACCGGCATACCCTATATTTGGGAACTAAACATTTGAGTATGATATGGATGTTTACATATCAGACATGAATAGCATGTGATAGGTCTTTTACCTGCAAAACAGAAAACTCATATGTCTCCTGATCTAGAGCACAGACTACAAAATTCGTAACCCGGAGACGGCGCAAGCGGCACACCCAGCTCATAAGCATGTCCCTGTAACTTGCACCAGCCACAGCAAGAACAACGGACCTGTTCTTGTCAGCAACAAGTTCAAGGAGCATTTCTAAAGAATGTGGCAAATTAACTGCTGATGAGTAGCTGATCTCCTTTTCACACAGGCTACCTCCCTCTGGATGTACATTTTGTTCTTTGTTTATGACAGAATTTGACAAGTTTGGCCCTTCATTTTTACTAAACATATAATCTTCAAACTGCTTCACCACTTTATACACCATGGGGGAGTTTCTTCTTGGCAATTCATAGCAATACGATCCATAAAGTGCAGCTAGATGTCGATTGACATCATACTCCCAGGATCCATCAGGGTTACTAACATTTCTGCTAGTGCTCGTGCTGCGCTTTTCGCTGAAATTTTCAGGATATAATCCAAGAACAAGATTGCTTGCATCAAACACAAGTCTAGTTTCAGATGAGAGAACCTCATGAATCAGCCACCAATTGTGTACTCCTCTTCCATTCAGAAAAGAAGGCATTACTCCTGCAACCATACGAGTGCTTGGATTGTTCCATGCCACAATGAGCCCCCTGTCACTGCCATGTCCTGCCCACTTGTCAGACTGATTCTCCTGCAACTAATGGATGAAATGGAAGAACATCTGCTCAGCAACTAGATTAAATGAGAATTTATGAATCTATCTGAATCTGTGATTGATCGCCATGGTTACACGTAAAGATACCTTCTTGAAGCTGACTTGTTTGCCATGTTCATCCGCCCATTGCGTCCCATTGTCAACGAGATGATAGGGGAAAGCAGAAATGTTGCGTGACGCTGAAAAAACGAGCCAATCGAGATCGCTTCTGCTGAAATGTTTCAGCAATGTGATGGTTTCCGGGAGCAGGATGATCTCGGCGTCGACGAGAACGCAGATGTCGGAATCAGCAGCTTGAGCTCTTGCAACAATGGAGTGGAAGAATGGTGTCCCGGTGAACCTGAACCAAGAAACGGAATGACACTAAGTTCGAGACAACGATTCTCTGTACGGTTCAGAGATCGTTGAATGCTTACGAGATATCTATGGCGGCGTCGACGGTGACACGGCCGCCGAGCCTCCCGGCGAGCGCGTGAGCCGACGGGTGGGCGGCGAGGAGCACGACGCTGACGTTCCCCGGAAGCGCCAGCCAGGACCGCACCGCCAGCTCCTGCCGCGCCGGCGAGCTGTCGGGCGGAGGCAGCGGCGCCGAGAAGATGGCGACTCGCGGGCCCGCCGCGCCGCCTGGCAGGTCCGGCCGGCGGCGATCGCCTTCCTCGCGGCGGTCGCCACCGGAGAGCACGGCTGCGGCGGTGACGAAGGCGAGGAGTAGCGCGAGGCCGCCCGCGAGTGGCAACGCGAGCTCGTCGGCGACGCCGTTCCCTCCGGCGCGGCGGCGGCGTGGGTGAGCGCCGTGGCGCGAAGCGACAAGCATTTTAGGCGCGCACCGCGGGACGCGGCGCGGCGCGGCGTGGCGAGACGACGGTGGTGGGGGCTGCGTGGTGGGGCCGACCTGTCATTGGGAGGGGAGATGGTGGCAGCAATGACTCGCGTGTCGCGTCGAACGGAAGGCAAAGGTTTGCCTCAAAAGCTCCCGTGGAGGTTGACGTGGTGGAATGCAAGCAACCTACTTTGACTGGCAGGTAGGGTCATCGTTATCGGGACCCTCTGCTGCAGTGTCGTGCAGGAAGGTACTTCCCCACTATCAAAATAAATAGATAAATCTAGTCTAAAATACGATACATCGTATTACTATGAATCTGAACATCTTTATATCACATTATGCTTTGTTTATTTTGGAATATATAGAGTAGGCTTGTGCATTTTGGGCGACGAATCATGATCTTGATCGGTGATAGGATTAGGCTGAGTTCTTTTTTTCACTTTGACAACTCAATTTTCTCATTTTTCGCATGCACTCTTTTCGAATTACTAATGGTATATTTTTGCGAAAAAAATATGAAAGCTATAAACTAATACTTACTCCGTTTCAGGTTATAAAACTTTCTAGCATTGCAACCTGAAACGGAGGTAGTACTTAATTATATTAATCCATCTTTTCAATTATCTTTAACTAATACTTAATTAATTATACATTAATAAATCATCACGTTTTTCGTGGAGGAAATTGTTCATACAACTGCGCCGAAAGCCTAGAAGGCCAACTTAACCCAGCAAAAATCTGTGCCAGGAGGCCCAGGCCTGTTTTGCACAATTTGGCGTCTTGGGCAGTACAAATGCCTGCATTTGTAGGAGAATTAAACCGTATAATATATTTTTTAAAAAAAAATGATGTTTGGAATATTGCTTTAAGCCATAAAAAAAATCATGCCAGAATGTAGAATTTTAAAATATTTTTAAAAATAGCAATCAAAATTTAGCAGGAGATTTGGAAAAAACCTTTTTTAGAGTACAACAGCGTATACTTAGAGACACACGGTAAAAAATACAACACTTGCTTAGAACGCGCGCACCCGCCTGTAAAGACATAGGAGTGGAGTACATGCATACCCTACTCCAAGTACCTCTCAAAGCGTGTGTTTGGTTCTGGGACTAGGTGGGATGGGATGAAACCATCCCTGATTTGAGGATTGGGATGATTCCATTCGGGTGTTTGGTTTGTAGAATAGGACGATCCCAGTATTTTGTTTGGTTCAAGGAACGAGGGAGGGATGGGATGAGCGCCGTTTGCAACCACCGACAACGCCGTTTACAACAACCATGGCCGACGCCGCCTCTGCCCTCACCTCCGGACGTGGTCGCTGCCGGCCTCCTTGATGGCGTCGATGAGCGGCTGCGGGGGGCTCGGCGACGGCGGCGGTAGACGGCTCGGGCGACAGCGGCGGCGGCGGGCTCGGGCGACGTCGGCGGCGGTGGGCTCGACGACGACGTCAGCGGCGATGGTGTCGGCCTTCGCAGAGCAGCCGCGGCTCGGCGACGACGACGGCAGCGAGGTCCGCGTGGGAGAGACAGAGGGAGAGGCCGGTGGAGAGGAGGGCGAGCACGACCACCATTGCGGTCGGGCGGGAGGAGAAGCGCGACGACGCACGGTCGGCCTTCGCGCAGAGCAGCCGTGGCTCGGCGACGACGACGGCGGCGAGGTCCGCGCGGGAGAGGGAGAGGGAGAGGCCGGTGGAGAGGAGGGCGAGCACGGCCACCATCGCGGTCGGGCGGGCGGAGAAGCGCGATGACGCACGGTCAGCCCGCCGCCGAGTTCCCCGCCTCCGGATCCGTCGCCACAACCTTCCCCATCGCCGGATCCGCCGCCGCCGCCCTCCACACCACCGGATCTGCTGCCGCCGCCCTCCCCACCACTGGATCCGCCGCCACCGAGCCCCCCGCCGCCGCCGTCGTCGAGCCCGCCGCCGCCGCCGTCGTCGAGCCCACCGCCGCCACCGTCGCCCGAGCCATCTACCGCCGCCGTCGTCGAGCCCCCCACCGCCGCCGTTGCCGAGCCCGCCGCCGTCTCCCGAGGAAGAGCGCGCGAGCAAAGCGGCGGTTTCACGCCGTCGCTCGTCCTAGGTGGGACGAGTTCGTCCGCTAGTTTTGGCCGGACCGATTGGTCCCGGATCTGAGAGGAATATTCCTCTGTAGGGACCAACCCATCCTACTCACCCCTGAACCAAACACCCCTAAAAATGGGTTCATCCCATCCCATTCCATCCCATCCCAGCAACCAAACACTACTAAAAAGATTGGGTCGTCATATTCTAAGATTAATGAAATCACCACAGGTTACTCGCTTTCTATAGATATCTATCTATAGATACATAACTCATTACTGAAAATAATTAACCATCAATACCAACACTCATATCAATTTTAAAATTTATAAATCGAAAGTGTTCCTTTCTCCTGTAAATGGAGATGAAAATTAAGTGTATTACGCAGAACGAAGGTACAAACGTATAATTAATTGAGTTTTAATTATTATAAGCTTAAAAACTAGATTAATATGATATTTTAACTCTCCCTCCACGCTGCCACTGCCGCTCGAAAGCTAACATAGAGCAACTTCCGTAGTAAAAGTTTTCACACAAAAGAAACAATTTAAAAGTTCGAAAATGCATGCTACCAGTACACAGAATTTCAACTCTTAGTGACCCTTTGAATCAAAAGAATTTATATAGGAATTTCATAGGATTACAATCCTATAGAAAATTTTCCTATTTGGTCCTTTAATTAAAAAGGTTGAAGCTTTTCAAATCCTATGAAATTCCTATAGAATGACACATAGCATGTGGATTTTGAAGAAAATTTGGCAAGAGCTTTAACCTCTTGGAAAATTTCCTTTGAGTATATCTCTCTCATTCGATTCCTGCGTTTTCCTGTGCTTCAATCAAACGACAATTCCTGTGTTTTTCCTGTATTTTGCAATCATCTGTTTTAAACTTCGATTCATATCAGAATTCTATGTTTTTCCTATTTCTCTAAATTTTTTTCGACCCTACGATTCAAAGGCCCTTAGGCCTTGTTTAGTTCCCAATTTTTTTTCCTAAGAACATCACATCTTTTGGACACATGCATAGAGTATTAAATATAGATAAAAAAACTAATTGTGCAGATTGCATGAAAATTGCGAGACGAATCTTTAGAGCCTAATTAGTCCATGATTAGCCATAAGTGATACAGTAACCCACATATATTAATGACGAATTAATTAGGCTTAATAAATTTATCTCGTGATTTCCAGGCACGTTATGAAATTACTCCCTCCGTCCCAAAATAAGTGCAATTTTACACTATTCACATTCAACATTTAACCGTTCGTCTTATTTGAAAAAAAATTATGATTAGTATTTTTATTGCTATTAGATGATAAAACATGAATAGTACTTTATGTGTGACTAAATATTTTTAATTTTTTCACAGATTTTTCAAATAAGACAGACGATCAAACGTTGAGCACGGTTATCCACGGCTGCACTTATTTTAGAAAGGATGTAGTAGTTTTTTTATTCGTGTCCGAAAAACCCTTTACGATATCCGAACAAACGTTCAATGTGACATTAAAAAATTTTCTTTTCCCGAAATAAAGGCTGTGTTTAGATCCAAAGTTTGGATCCAAACTTCAGTCCTTTTCCATCACATCAACCTGTTATACACACACAACTTTTTCAGTCACATCATTTTCAATTTCAACCGGAATCCAAATTTTGCTACCAATGGCTGCTGGGCTGGCTGGCCGGCCGTTACCAAATTTATTCCTTCCTTCTCCCAACTAGCTCCCGGTGGGTCCCGCACGACAAGACCTTGCACTGTCAGTGAACGGGAGGGGCAGAATTGGAATGTCACCACCACTCTCCACTCGGTGCGTGGAAGATTGGACGTCCGAGACGACCAAACGTGCCTCGGAAATCGCACCCCCCCGGAACGGCTACTCGGGGCGCGCGCCCGGCACCCTTTTCAAATCAAACGCTCGTCAAACAGCAGCAGCTGCGACCAAAGTTTGAACTTCTTTTTTTTCTTTTCCTCTTCCTTTCGAGAAAAGAATGGAGAATATCTAAAAGTTTCGACGAAAAAAAGAAGAGGAAAGCGGCATCGGAGGATGGTCCAGTGCTTTGATTTTGATTTGATTTGATCAGTGTCACTGTGGCCAGCAGCGTTAACACGGCGTGATTAATCTAATCGCGGATGGTTTAATCAAAGCCAAAGACAGGATCCCCCTGCCCCCGCGCCGCGGGACCCACCACCCAAATAATGTGTGTGTTTTGTTTTGCTTGCTTTTGCTTCGATTTGAAATACGGGTTTCTTTCCGTTTTCCCGGTGCCCTTGTAGTAGTATGAAATTGAGCTCGTGTTGTACATGCAATGTACTGCTACTCCGGTAATAAACGTCATGTTTTTGTACAGAATTCGTTTGAAAAATTTCAGAATTGGCTTCTTCTATTCCAGTAGGTTTGAGCGTTCAACGCGGCAACGCGTACGTATGTACGTACGTACCGGTACCGTGCTGTATCCTACCGCATTGCATTGCAGTACCATCAGGACGTGCCATTTGAGATAGATAAAGATTAAAATTAGGTATGAAAAAACAAAACAAGAAAGTCACCGGCGCATGATTAATAAGATTTTTCAATTATTATAAACTTGAAACAAATTTAGTATCTTTTATATTTTAAAGTTTTGTACGAAACATAGTATTATTTAGGAGTTTAAAAAAATGCTACAAAAATCAAGATAGGCCCCGTTCGAATGTCCTCAAAAAGCTTGGTTAAATTTTGGATTAAAGTGGCACACTTTTCAAACTGCTAAACGGTACGTTTCGTGTAAAAACTTTCTATACGAGAGTTGTTCTAAAATATCAAATTAATCTATTTTTCAAGTTTGTAATAATTAAAACTCAATTAATCACACGTTATTACCACTTCGTTTTACGTGAAACACTTAATCTCCATCTTCATCTTTATTTTCAGTAGATTCAAATACCACCATAATGCACTCCTAATTTGATAAAGCAAGACTATAGTGCCCATCATTTAAATGAAAGTGGGAGATTGACGAGAATAGAATGTGTAGAAATTTAAATAGAATGTGATTGATTGAATAAATAGCACGACGAGAATTATAGGAGTTGATGTAGATCGAGCATGGCCATTGGCCAGCCTCGTTCCGTCGTCGGCAAGAGGCCGTCGGTCGACGCGCCATGCCATGCCACCCTGACAGTGGGACACACTCGCGTCGGCGAGGGCGCCCAGCGTACGAGCAGTTAAGCAAGCCAGGCAGTCAGGGCGGTGTCAGTAGACCACCGGCATTTACACCCCGCAACACCCCCCCTCATCTCGCCGAACCCACGTCTTTTAATAACAAAGCAGCTTGCCACCGTCCCTGCCTCTCCTGCTTTGCTTTGCCTTCTCGGAGAAGACAAATCTACTGTAGCTGCTTGTCTCTGTTCGCCGGTGGCGACCGTGAGAGGAGGAGGTAGTCCTAGTCCTAGTAGGCGAGATGAGCGGCGCCACCAAGTTCATCAAGTGCGTCACCGTCGGCGACGGCGCCGTCGGCAAGACCTGCATGCTCATCTGCTACACCAGCAACAAGTTCCCCACCGTATGTTCTCCCCTCTCTCGCCGTTGTTCTTGCTGCTGTCCATGGTTTTGCTCCTCTTTGTTTGTAATCAGAGAGAGAGAGAGAGAGAGAGAGAGAGAAAAGATGTACGCCTGTACTAGTCTTGCAATGTTCAGTGTTTGTGTGCATTTCTTGGTAGCGTTTGTGATGCTGTTTCTTGGCTATGCAGGATTACATCCCCACCGTGTTCGACAACTTCAGTGCTAATGTTTCAGTGGATGGGAACATCGTCAACTTGGGATTATGGGACACTGCTGGTAAAACTGATTCTTCCATTGCTCTACTCTCTTCTGCTGAGATTTTCCTTTTTTTTTATCCCTGCAACTGTCCAATCTCTGAACCTCTTGTGTGTTCTTTTGGTTGATTCATCCAGGACAAGAGGATTACAGCAGGCTGAGGCCACTGAGCTACAGGGGAGCGGATATATTTGTGCTGGCATTCTCACTGATCAGCAGAGCAAGCTATGAGAATGTTCTCAAGAAGGTAGGTACTATACTCCATTTAGTTCAGTTTGGACTCAAAATGTCTGAACATCTGACAACATGAGGATAGTGACCACAGATACTGTACCAAGAACTTTACCTTTCCTTCTGACAATGACATTTTTAGACCACCTTTGACCAATATTCTTCACATTTTTCTTCTTTACAGATATATACTATATGTGCATATGATTTTCACTGGAATATTCTGAGCTAATGTTATCTTTTTCTGTTTCTGATCATGCAGTGGATGCCGGAGCTTCGCCGGTTCGCACCGAATGTTCCAATTGTTCTTGTTGGGACCAAGTTAGGTTTGTACCGGATGCAACATTAACTCAACAAAGCTCAGTGCCACTTCCTTTTGCAGGCTTGTTTCAATGCTCTTAGGTTTTAACCGTGCTTGCTTCCAATTGTTCAGATCTACGTGACCACAGATCTTACCTTGCGGACCATCCTGCTGCTTCCGCAATTACGACTGCACAGGTTTGTTCTTTTATTTACCGAATCTTCTGTTCAGCATGAAAACACATTTATTGGCGAATTCGATGACCGTATAAGTTTATGTTCAGGGTGAAGAACTTAGAAAGCAGATAGGCGCCGCGGCTTACATCGAATGCAGTTCGAAAACACAACAGGTACAAAACTGCAAACAATGGATTCAATCGATTAGTTCTTTGTCATAGTTTGAAGAGTTCCTTGCTATATATATACTGTAGCAATTCAAGTTGGACAGACTGTTGCTTTAATGAACCATTTATGTTGAGCTGATAATGTTGTTGGCCATGGTAGAACATCAAGGCCGTGTTTGATACTGCCATCAAGGTGGTCCTTCAGCCTCCTCGGAGAAGGGGGGAGACGACGATGGCAAGGAAGAAGACAAGGCGAAGCACCGGCTGCTCGTTAAAGTAAGAGCACACCTCAAAAGCCTTAGAATTACATGGTTGGATCTTGTGAGTTGTGATCATGGACTAGCTATTATAATGTTTGTGCCTAGTAAACATGAGTGCGCATCATTTTCTACTTTGTGAATGAAATAGTATGAATTATGCAATGGCTGATGTAACTGTTTTTTTTTTTTTTACTGCAGGAACTTGATGTGTGGCAGTGCATGTGTTGTTTAGGACCTGTCTGAATTCTTGAAGGTGTGTAAGCGTTGTGTAATGGCAAGTGAATTTGCTGACTGTTCTGCTGCTTCCATTTACTACTACTAAGCTCTTTCGTGTGTTTGAATTACTACATCTAGAACTAGAGCATCAGGCTCATAGACTGACTTCATATCAGGTGTTTGTATCATTAATATTATTATGTAAGAAGGTTGTGGTTTGTGGAACAACTAAATACAACAATGCAGGCTATGTTGTAGTATGCTCTGCTACTGGTGTATGTTATAAATATAAAATTCTGCTACATACTTTTGTGCATCGAGTCGCCTTTTCTTCTTGTTTCTTGCACAATGGCAGATATCATTTTTTTGGTCAGTTTAAAAACGAGAAACGCTTATAACCTTTTTCAAAACAAGGCCAGAAACTATGATTGAGATTATAATGACATCGTTTGACACACCACAGTGCCCACAAGGCTGTTCAAACTACGAGCTGTTTATTCTGTATTTCTGGCAACACTAATGAAACCAGAGAAAACGCTTCTGGATTTCTGCATCAGCTATGCGATGAAACCCTTTGAAATCAGAGCACCTGCTTCATTTTGTAAACATGCTTTTGAGCTTCTCGTTGGCGGATACCAGTTCGGCAGCAACACCAACCTCGTTAGCGGAGTGTCCTGCATCTGGAACCATCTGTATACGGTAGAAGAGATTAATTATTGACTCAATCAAGTACGCATGAACAATATTGCAGTCGGCAGTAAGCACATTCTATCTACACAGAAATCATTCGAAATGCATTTTATCTAGCGAAGTCAGTAGATCAGGGTATATAAATTTAAGGTATACGGTAATTTGCCAAAATAACCGTTGCTCATTGCCAAAAACAATGAGCAGGCAACCTAAATGAGCAGATTACTGTACTCCTATTTGACACAGTTATTTTGGCAATCATTTACATGAAAAGAATCATTTACCTTAAATTCTGCTTCAGGCCATGCTTTATGAAGATCCCAGGCAGACATCATAGGACAGCAAACATCATACCGGCCCTGCAACATAAAAACACCGATCACTATCAGGTACTACAATAGTATCATCTCACCTGTATAACTCTTTGCACAAAACTTACAAAATACTCCACTTTACAGTAGGAGTAGTAGCTATAAAAAGCATCAAGGCCTAATTTGCCAGTCGAGGGAACAATTATGAATAATGCCACTTTACAGTTCCATTGTCATTATGCATTGCATTACAGCACACAAAATCCATGTCTTCTTGGCATCCTACATCTACATGCTAGATCAAACATTTGGACACGACAATCAACATCAAATCAGAGGAGCTACAGCTAATCTCCAACATGAGAATTCGATCATGTTTGCTACAATCTATTATATTATTAAAACAGCTTTGAAAGAAGGCACCACGTTCGCTGGAGGCTAGAAATTCTCACATTAATCAGAGAAAAAGAAAAAAAAGAAAAAAAGAGTTCACGTAGAAATACAATTTAAAAATAGGAGAAATTCGGAATTAAAAATAAGCAATATTGAAAGAAGTTTCCACATAAGAACCCAATACGAGATTAATCAAAATTCGAAATAAAAATAAAATAAAATCCAAAATTAAAAAAGAAAAGGAGAGTCCAAGTAGAAATACAATTTAAAAATAGCTGAAATTCGGAATTAAAAATAAGCAATAATGAAAGAAATTTCCATATAAGAACCCAATATAAGATTAATCAAAATTCGAAATAAAAATAAAATAAAATCCAAAATTAGAAAAAGAAAGGAGAGTTCAAGTAGAAATACAATTTAAAAATAGCTAAAATTCGAAATTAAAAATAAGCAATATTGAAAGAAGTTTCCATATAAGAACCCAATACGAGATTAATCAAAATTCAAAATAAAAATAAAATAAAATCCAAAATTAGAAAAGGAAAGAAGAGTCCAAGTAGGTATACAATTTAAAAATAGCTGAAATTCGAAATTAAAATAAGGAATATTAAAAGAGAGTCCATATAAGAACCCAATACGAGATTAATTAAAATTCGGAATAAAAATAAAAATAAATCCGAAATTAGCAAAATAAAATAAAAGAATAGTTCAAGTAGAAATATAATTTAAAATTATCTGAAATTCGGAATTAAAAATAAGCAATATTGGAAGAAGAATCGAACCCAATACGAGATTAATTAAAATTTAGAATAAAAATAAAATAATATCCAAAATTAGAAAAATTAAAAGAGAGTTCAGAATACAATTTTAGAACAACCGAATTGAAAATAAAAAATAAAAACATTAAAATAACACAATACGGTATTAACTATTTGTTAAAAAAAATAAATTCTGAAATTAGATAAATAAAAAATAAGATTTCAATTAGGAATACAATTTATAAATAACTAAAATTTGTGTTAAAGAAAAGACCATCTAAAACACATGACGAGATAAATTAAGTAATAGGCCTATAAAGGAGTAGAGTGGTGGCGGTTGATACGACATATAAAAATTGTTAATAAAACACTAAATAGAATCCTAATGACAATTAAAAGGAGGGATGTCAGCCAGGCCGTGAAGCAAACAAGTAAGTCGGTTGCCGGGACTTCTAGAAAGTAAAAAAAAAAACCCATTGATAATCATTTGATTTTTCAAATCTCAATAACAATAAAAAGGAGAAGCAACGGGCGGGGTGTATAAGAGTATAGTTGCAGAGCCGCCGACGGTTGACGGGACTTCTAGAAAATAAAAAAAGAATTCTAATGATAGTTCTGTTCAATTTTTAGATTCACAATGACAATAAAGAGTAGGCGGTAGACGGGCTGTAGAGGGGCATAGTGGCATCGTTTGATGGGACTTCTAAAAATTATATATAAAAAAAATGAAACTACAAGTCCAATTTTTATAGGTTCGGAAGTTGTAAAAAGTAAAAAAAAACAATGATAATCATGTTCGATTTTAAAATCTCAATGACATTAAAGAAGGGAGGCAGCGGGCGAGCCGTAGAGGAGTACAATGACAAAGTTGCTGACGGTTTGGCGGGACTTCTAGAAAGTAAAAATAAACCCAAACAATAATTTAAAAATAGATGAAATTCGGAATAAAAAATAAAATAAAATCCAAAATTAGGCAAATTAAAAAGATAGTTAAATTAGGAATACAATTTTGAAAAAACTGAAATTGAAAATAAAAAATAAAAAAAATCAAAAGAACATAATACGAAAAATAAAAATAAATTCTGAAATTAGAAAAAGAAAAATAAGATATCAACTAGGAATACAATTTATAAATAACTAAAATTGGTGATAAAAAAATAAAGATTATTGAAAGAAAATACTATCTGAAGCACATGACGAGATTAATTAAGTAACATGCCCATAGAGGAGCAGAGTGGTGGCGGTTGAAGATTACAAGGAAGGACAACAGGCAGGTCATGAAGCAATCGGTCAAGACGGTTGGCGGGACTTCTAGAAAGTAAAAAAAATAAACCCCAACGATAATCATATTTGATTTAAAATCTCAAGTACAATAAAAATGAGAGGCAGTGGGTAGGTCGTATAGGAGTACAATAGCAAAGCCGTCGATGGCTGGTGGGTCTTCTAGAAAGTAAAAAATGAATTCGAACAATAGTTATGTTCAATTTTTACAATCACAATGACAATAAAGAGTATGCGGCGGATGAGCCATAGAGGAGTATAGTGGCAGCGTTTGACGAGATTTCTAAAAATTATAAAAATTATGAAACCCAACGAGACAACTCTAAAAACTATAAGCTCCAGTTTTTAAAGGTTCGGGCTTCTAAAAAGTAAAAAAATAAACCCCAATGATAATCATGTTTGATTTTAAAATCTCAATGACAATAAAGGGCGGCAGCGAGCGAGGGTCTTCTAGAAAGTAAAAAATGAATTCGAACAATAGTTATGTTCAATTTTTACAATCACAATGACAATAAAGAGTATGCGGCGGATGAGCCATAGAGGAGTATAGTGGCAGCGTTTGACGAGATTTCTAAAAATTATAAAAATTATGAAACCCAACGAGACAACTCTAAAAACTATAAGCTCCAGTTTTTAAAGGTTCGGGCTTCTAAAAAGTAAAAAAATAAACCCCAATGATAATCATGTTTGATTTTAAAATCTCAATGACAATAAAGGGCGGCAGCGAGCGAGCCGTAGAGGAATAGATTGACAAAGTCACTGACATTTTGGCGGAACTTCTAGAAAGTAAAAAAATGAAACTAAACGATAATTATGTTCGATTTTTAAAATAGCAATGACATAAAGAGAAGATGCAGTGGACGGCTGTAGATGAGTATAATGGCAGTGTTTGACGGGACTTCTAAAAATTATAAAAAAGAAGTCCAACAGAACAATAAACTCTAAAAAAATTTTAGATCTAATTTTTAAAGGTTCTAAGAAGAATGAATAAAAATAGTGGTAAATCGAGCAAACAAATAAAGAATAATATAACAGAAATGAGGGGTAGCAACTGGTGTGACTTTTAAAAACTATAAAATTAGAAACACGATAATAATAAGGTTTTTTCTTTCAAAATCTTAAGACAACGAGATAACTAATAAACTTTAAGTAAAATATATATATATATATATATATATATATATAATTTTATATAGGTGCTAGCCGCGCAATTGCGCGGGCCACCCAGCTAGTTATATTACATGAGCACACGTGCTCATAGTCACCCCCAGACATAACATGCAACATGGCAAAACTTAACTTGAGGACAGACATACCTGTACAATAAAAGCTTTAATGTGTCGAATCTTGTCAACATTGTCTAACAGATGCGAGTCTGAGGGTAAAAATCCCTTATTCACAAAATAATGGTTTTCAATCCTTGCGAATGCCTGGGCAAAAGTAAACCATGTGTCACCAAATATCAGAAAAAGGCACACATTCTAAAAGTACACATAAGGATATTAAATACAAAATATTGAGACCATAGGCATTTCAGCAACATAAAAGCAGGCTAATAGGAAAATATGATGGGATGTGTAATCAGAAGCTAAACGGCACACTGATTTGGTATACTGAGAAAATAAGTGTGTATGGTCAACAGCAGCAGTCATGAGTATATCAGCAGCGGATTGATACTGATATTGTGCAACGATCATTGAGATGGCCTTTTGGAATTAGGAGGTAACATCAAACAAGTAAATTAACAGCTCTCAAAGGCACTGCTCCCTCCGTCCTGCTTAGATATTTTTTTAGAAACTTGCTTTTATTACTCCCTCCGTCCCATAATATAAGGGATTTTGAGTTTTTGCTTGTACTGTTTGACCACTTGTTTTATTCAAAAAATTTGTGCAAATATAAAAAACGAAAAGTTGTGTTTAAAGTACTTTGGATAATAAAGTAAGTCAAAAAAATAAATAAAAATTCTAAAATTTTTTGAATAAGATGAGTGATCAAACAGTGCAAGTAAAAACTCAAAATCCCTTATATTATGGGACGGAGGGAGTATTAAATAGATGTACTTTTAGGATTTATTCATAGTACTTCCCCAAATAGCTGTTAAAAGTGGAATTGAACAAGTGGGATGGATGGGGGATATTAATTGGAACTAATAGCGTCCAAGAGGAACAATTAGCAACTTGGATCTTGTTGGAGGCTCAAAATACATTAAAAAAACAAAGCAATAATGTAAGCTTTCAAAGAAATAAAAAAAATGTTAAAGAAATTAATGTAAAGAAACTTTCAAAGAAATATAGGTACATTACATATGTAGGAAGATGTTAAAGAAATTAATGTAAGCTTGTCAACCCATAGCAACGTAAAAAATGATGAAGAAGAAAAGGGCTTACCAATGAGAACTTATCATCTTCCCCTCGCTTGATGTTCTCATGATTTTGGATAAGATGTGCAGTCATCATCTCCCACATTGTCCATCTCTTAGCAGCTTCAGCCTAAATATCAGTAGAGGGTACGATCACATATAAAGCCGAGGAACTAGAGAACTAAAGAAAGGAATGGATCAAATGTACCAAGCAATAAAGATAAATCTACCTGGACATCAGCATCAGAGGAAGTTAGCCTTTTGCTATAAGCAGCTATGAAACAATTCCTTTCATCCTCAGGAATAAAATCTCTAAATGGTTCCCATGCTGCCCGTATAAAGTTGCAGCAATCAATCAGCACATAAGATAGTGAATTGATCGAAGCAAACATAACAAACTGCCTACTCAAAAACTCTATGACTTTGGCAACTTCGTTACCAGTAAAAAGAAAGAGTTCATAGTGTTTAACAAAAAAACACCATTACACAAAACAAGACACACATACCATCTGGGAAAATAGCTGCTGCACCACCCTCATAGAACCAATCAAGTTCCTTTTTCCTAAGCAAGAAAATGCCTCTTAGAACAATGCCAGTGACCTAACAAACATCCAGGAAAGTATTAGTGTGAATCTAAAATGTAGCTCCCTTGCACACCTACTTGCAACAAGTATCATCATCACAGGTAAATGTAAAGGGCCATAGATCACTCACCTTATCAGGGTGACTCTCGCTGTACGCGAGAGCCAAGGTGCTTCCCCATGAACCACCAAACACCTATAAATGTTGACAAATAATGGGTTTCACTACTGAAAGGCCTGTAAGACGCAAATTCTTAAGGGAAGAGCATTTAGAATTGCCTGCCACTCTGGGATGCCAAGATGTTCTCTAAGCTTCTCGATGTCAGCAACCAAGTCCCAGGTAGTGTTCTCTTCCAAACACGCGTGAGGAGTGCTTCTGCCTGCACCTCTCTGCACACAATGGCAACGCGAAATCAAGAAACAAAAGTCACCTCACCATCACAACGGTATAAACAGCGACATGAGAGGGACGGAACCAACCTGATCGAACAAAACGATCCTGAAGAACTCCGGATCAAAGAACCTCCGATTCCCGGGCGACGTGCCAGCTCCAGGGCCGCCATGGAGGAACACAACAGGCTGCAAAAAATTGAAACGGAATCAGTTCTTCCACTAAGAAAGCACACAAGACCCACACAAGCCATTGGACGAGCGAATCAAATTCTTCTCCTCCTTCCTCTCCTCATCGCGAGCGCCGTCAGCTCCAGAAACTTTGAGCAGCACGGCGACCACGTCCACATCGAGATCGACATCATCAAGATCAACAAGGTCACAAGCAGATCATATATACATAAAAAAAAACTCACATGGCCCTGGGGGTTCCCGGACTGCTCGTAGTAGATGGTGTGGACGCCGGAGACCTTGAGGAACCCGAAATCGTAGGGCTCGGTTTGCGGGTACAGATCCTTCCTCAGCGGCTGCTCCTGGTGCTGCTGCTGCAGTTGCCCCATCGGCGCGTTGGTTGCGGCGGCGAGGGTGGCGCGGCAACGGAGGTGGCAGCCCAAACCCTGTCGTCCCCCTGCTTTTCACAACAACGGGAAAGAAACCGCGGCGATGAGAGGATGGCACTAACGAGATAAGGAAGGACACGGGATGGTGTGGGGATCGAGGAGGTTGTTACCTGCAGTGGATGGGGCGGGAGGAGGAGGCGGCGGGCGTGGGCGGCGGGAGGTGGGGAGGGTTGGGGTTGGGGTTGGGGTTCGGGGGGAGGAGGTGGCACGGAGCGCGCGGATCATTTCAGTGGGCGACTGACTGGGTTTGTTGTTGGGGTTTCCAGTGGGGTTTTTGCCGTTTTCGCCGCGCGTCGTGCCGAGCGGAGGACGGACGGCAGCCGAGAGGTGGTGGCGCCCGCCAGGTTTGGTGTGCGCAGAACGGGGATCGGTCTTGTTGTGATCCCTGGCTTTTTCCGGAGATAACCAAGCAACTGCCGTGGGTCCACGGCAAGTATAGTAATGTCCCCGTCGTTTTGGCTTATTAGAAAATAAAAATAAATTTGTAGGTAAAATTTTTATAAATGTGTTTTTTTTACTTAAAAGCCAATGTTGAAAAAAAACTACGTTAAAAATATCTCAAAATCAATTTCAAAATTAAGCTTGAAAATTCAAAATTTGTCTTTTTCTTTGGCTTATTAGGCCATCCGATGGGAGCCTAAAACAAAAAGGTGGCGGTCCCATTGTTTAATCTACAGTTTATCTCCTTCAGTCTCACCATATAGGAGATACATGGGGTGTTGATTCAAGGCTGTATTTAGCAAATGTTTACTGTAGCACCATATTTATCAAATCATAGAGCAATTAGGCTTAAAAGATCCATCTCGTACATTAGTTGCAATCTGTGTAATTAGTTTTGTTTTTAGCATATATTTAATACTTCATGCATGTGTTCAAACGTTCGGTATAACATGGTAAAAATAATTTTAGGGTGGGATTTAAACAGGGCCATAGTAGTATCATGGTCTTAATACATATGATTAAAATATGTTTTCATCTAATTCTAAATTGATATATTGTAGGACGAATGTAGTAAGTTTGTTGAGTTCGTTTTAAAATCTTTCCAAAATCTACTGATCCCTTGTTTTTAATGTGTACGTTTCTAAACTGCTAAATCATATGTTCTTGTATAAACCTCTATAGAATAGTTGTTTAAAAGAATATTTAATTCACCTTTTAAGTTTTATCTAAATAGTACTTAATTAATCTAATTGTCCTTTTTAGGGAGAGAAGAAGTTTCCAGCACGCATCGAACACACCATTAGAAAAAGATAGGAGTACTATACAATGAGTAAACTTAGGCTGCGTACGTTCACAGAAGAAAGGGGAGATTGTTGACTCGTTTTTCGCGCGCACGTTTTTCAAACTACTAAACCGTGTGTTTTTTTAAAAAAAATTTCTATAGAAAAGTTGCTTTAAAAAACCATATTAATCTATTTTTAAAGTTTAAAATAGTTAATACTCAATTAATTATACGCTAATAGCTTACGTCGTTTTGCGTATCTTTTCAATCCCCTCTCCCTACTTTTCTGGGCATGAGCTGATGACGGACGGCAGCGGCGGGGATGTTGTTTGGATCATTGGCCTTTTCCGGCGCTAACTGCCATAGGTCCACTCCACAGTGAGCAGGAAAACTAAAAAGGTTTTCGCTTCCAGCACGGTAATGATACGTTTTGTACTTTTTTTTTTTCCTACGAGTACAAAATTCGCGTGGATCCAATCATTAGGATGGTAGTGATGGAGCCCGTGATCTCACCGCTGACGGTACCAATCTAGGCCTGGCCCAACACAATACTAGTCGAGCCCAAACAGCCGGTCCTTTTCGTAGGCCTGGCAGGCTGGCACACTCAAGTCCAACTTTTCTCAAGGGAATAAGTCCACCTTGAGTCCCTTAACTAGTGTTCGGATTTATTCACATCCCTCGATCATAAAACCGGGTACGATAACTTATCCAAGTATTAAAATCACGCAAAATGACTCCCTTAACTGTTTTTAGCTTGGTTTTTCCTAACGCGGCGTCCACATGGCAGACCTGCCATTGGAAAAATAATAAATGATGAAGTGGGGCTCATATATCATTCTCTTTCTCTTTTCCCCTCTTTGTCCCCACTCTCCTTTTCTCCCCAGCCTTCTTCTTGGAGCAACGGAGTAGCGGCAGTAGCAGCCAGCAAGTTGATGGCGGCGAATGAGCACGGGGAGCGCGCACGGTGGCGGTGGCATCCCCGACGTGCTCCGTACTTGGATCTTCCTCCGGCTCAGAGGTTGATCTGTGTGCTAACTGTGTGCAAGCAGTGGCGCAGCATGGCTCATTGACGGTGTCTCCGATGCCAAATCGCTAATGGAAGTGCCAAGAAGAAGGGCGAGTGGAAGATTCTAGCTCCTCTTCTGTTGGCTGATGCCGTCGGTCTCTCCACGACTCTTTCGCCGGGTGCCACCGCTTTCGGCTCCTTTTTCACTTCCCACCGCCGCTCGCCATGATGCGTCGCCCGAACCATTGTGACAGAATTTGAAGAAGGGATAAGATGAGATAGGCGAGGGAGAGAGGATTGAGGGGAGGATAGAGGAAAAGAAGTGGTCACTGACGTTCAGGTTCCACTTATAATTTTCATATTTTTGCTAATTGTAAATGCCACGTTAGAAAAAAGAACACCTTCGAAATCACTTTGTGAGTCATATTGCATTGATTCTAATAACTGAGGAGGTCAACATATCTGGTATTATGGTTGAGGGTATAAATCAGATTAGACCTACACTATATCCAAGGTGTTAAAATGGACTGTGTTCTTTCCTTCAAGTTCCCAACCTCACATCTCTCTTTTTCCACGCGTACGTTTCCCAAACTACTAAACAATGTGTTTTTTAAAAAAGTTTCTATATAAAAATTGCTTTAAAAATTTTATTAATCTATTTTTGATATTTTTTTTACGCTATAAGGGATTCCCAACCCCTTAAAAAACACAGCCTAATTCTTTTCTCAAGCCTAGTCCACGCTAAATTTTGGCCCATCAGGCGTAAATTCGTGACAACTCCCGCTGTCTCGCCCGCGTCCGGCGCGGCCCGAACCGTGGGAAGCCGGGAATATCCCACTGCCGTGTTCCTGAATCCTGACTCGCCAACCGCCTCAGCTGTCCACTCCACTCCTGTCGCCTTCTTCGTGCCGTCCTGCGCTGCGATGCGACGTGGGCGACGACGAGAGTTTCCGGTGGATGCCGACGCGCACCGACCCGACGACGCCACGGCTTGGGCTCTGCTGGCTTCGCGCCGCACGCCTGCTGCTGCATGCTGCGCCGTCCAGAAATTTCCGCCTGCGCGAGGCCGGCGACCTGCCCGCCCGCCACGTCTGGCCACTGCACGAGCGGCACGTTGCCGGGATTGCCCGTGCCCGTGTCTCGTCTCGTCCCAAAGCTTGACTTAGGGCCGTTTTGGGTGGCTAGCAAAACTTAGGGCCAATTTGGATTGCTACCCTACCAAAATTTGCCCTACCAAAATTTTGGTAGGGTAGCAAACCAAACACCTCTACTAAAACTCTACCAATGCCATAAATTTGGCTTTGCCTATAAACTTATCTCTTATGGGCAAATTTTGGCTTCAATCCAAATAAATATTTTCAACTCTACCCTACCAAAATTTTGGTAGTTCCAAAACTTGCCCAAGATTTGGCACTACCAAAATTTTGGTAGGACATCAATCCAAACATGCCCTTAGCCCTACCAATATTTTCCAATATTTTGGTAGTTTAAATAGTATATGTGTTTGTTTGAATTGAGACCAATTTATTGGCATTATGCTAGATTTGACATCAATCTAAAACAATCTTCACTAGAAGTCACATGTTAGTTTAATATTGGTAGCAAACCAAATTCAATTTTGCCCTACCAAAATTGGTAGTACCAAAATTTGCCTAAGCTTTGGTATTACCAAAAAATTGGCATGGTAGCAATCCAAATAGGCCCTTAATTATCGGGACATTTAAGGGTTGTTCGGATGCTAGCCAAAATTTGTCTCAATTTACCACGAGTATGGTAAGTAGGTTTGACCAAGTTAGTACTATAGTGTATGGTTCTAGCCACAAGTTAGTAATATGTGGCAAAGAGGCTAAGATGTGGCTTCATTTTTCTTGGCCACAACTTTGGCAACTTAGCCACGAATGTTTGGCTGGTTTAGGTAGTGATAGACAACCAACCAAACAACCCCTTAATTTTTACACTCTTAAAATATGTCAATTAATTATTTATCACTTGCTGCTTGTGATATATAGGTCCAATAATAAATCATTTATCACCGACAAACAATTAATTATTCCTGAATTATCCCCTCTTTTGCGTCTCTACCAGGCGAAAGGCGGTAGTGTACTGCGTACAGCCTAGATCAACGGATATTCAAAAGGAATATACATTCTTATAAGATTCAGGAGGAAATATTTTTTTAAGTAATGCAGGGGAAAAATAGTTGTGTCGGTCTAATGGGGACTTTGCTCCACAAGGCAGGCAGCTAATCATCGATCATCATCGCTGTAACCTGTAAGGCGCATCCTAATCAATAATGCCCCCCAAAAACGCTACAGCTACCATCCTCTCTGTTCTTTTTTTTAATGTTCCAACAAATCTTTCTCCACCCACAAAAGGAAGATATCAAGAAAATGCAAAGCGCTATTATAGCTGTAAACGCGGCTAAGGAAACCAAAAAACACCCCAAACAAAAAACAAAACAAAGGTCTAGTTTAGTTGGGAAAATATTTTAGTCGGTTATCACATCACATTAGATATATTGACACATATTTAAAGTATTAAACGTAGTCTAATAAAAAATAATATGCAGATTCCACAAGAAAACTGCAAAATGAATTTATTAAACCTAATTAATCTGTCATTAGTAAATGTTTACTATAACACTACGCTATCAAATCATGGTGCAATTAGCCTTAAAAGATTTGTCTTGCAATTTACATGTAATCCGTGTAATTGTTTTTTCCTACAATACTCCATGTATATATTAAACATTCGATGTGACAGCATGGAAATTTTTGTTTTAGGAACTAAATAGGGCCAAAATAAAAGTTCACACCAAAATTGAAAATTTGATTGAAATTGGAATGATGTGATGAAAAATTTGAAAGTTTGTGTGTGTAGAAAAGTTTTAATGTGATGGAAAAGTTGGAAGTTTGAAAGAAAAACTTTGGGGAGAAAACATTTCAAAGCGAAAGCGAAATGAAACTCTCTAGAGAAGAGAAGCCCCAGCCGCAGATATTATTCACGATCCGTTAAGCTGTTCCCCCTCCCTTCCAACGCCGGCCACTCGTCTCCTCCTCCTCCCACCTCCCGTTTCCCCCGCGCCATCCTCCTCCGCCTCGCCGCCATGGCCGCGACCCCGCCGTCGTCGCAGCACCGGCGGCCGCTGTCCTCCTCCGCCTCCGCCGCCTCCCTCGCTGGCAAGCCGCGGGGGGGCGGGCTCCTGCTCGGGCGGTACGAGCTCGGCCGCCTCCTCGGCCACGGCACCTTCGCCAAGGTGTACCAGGCGCGGAGCGCGGATTCCGGGGAGCCGGTCGCGATCAAGGTGCTCGACAAGGAGAAGGCGATGCGGCACGGCCTCGTCCCGCACATCAAGCGGGAGATCGCCATCCTCCGCCGCGTCCGCCACCCCAACATCGTGAGGCTGTTCGAGGTGATGGCCACCAAGTCCAAGATCTACTTCGTGATGGAGCTCGTCCGCGGCGGGGAGCTGTTCGGCCGCGTCGCCAAGGGGCGGCTCAAGGAGGACACCGCGCGGCGCTACTTCCAGCAGCTCGTCTCCGCCGTCGGGTTCTGCCACGCGCGCGGCGTGTTCCACCGCGACCTCAAGCCCGAGAACCTCCTCGTCGACGAGCACGGCGACCTCAAGGTCTCCGACTTCGGCCTCTCCGCCGTCGCCGACCAGTTCCACCCCGACGGCCTCCTCCACACCTTCTGCGGCACGCCCTCCTACGTCGCGCCCGAGGTGCTCGCGCGCCGCGGCTACGACGGCGCCAAGGCGGACATATGGTCCTGCGGCATCATCCTCTTCGTGCTCATGGCTGGCTACCTTCCGTTCCATGACCAGAATCTCATGGCCATGTACCGAAAGATTTACAGGGGGGAATTCCGGTGCCCGAGATGGTTCTCCAAGGATCTTTCCAGTCTACTGAATCGCATCCTTGACACGAACCCAGAGACAAGGATCACTGTCAAAGAGGTCATGGAGAGCAGGTGGTTCCAGAAGGGATTCCGGCCGGTCAGATTCTATGTTGAGGATGATCAGGTTCACAGCTTGGCAGATGGTGATAATGATATGCCGGAGTTGGAACCTAGTGAGCCTCCTCCTCCTCCTCCGTTTCCGCCGCCGCCGCCGCAGCAAGATGATGACGGTGAGGAGTCGGGATGGGAGTCGGACTCATCCGTGGCATCATGTCCTGCCACATTGTCATCTGAGGAGCGTCGGCAAAGACCTCTCGGGTCTCTCACACGGCCAGCAAGTCTTAATGCGTTCGATATCATATCGTTCTCAAAGGGATTTGATTTGTCGGGGTTGTTTGAGGAGCGAGGGAGTGAAGTGAGGTTCATATCGGCAGAGCCTATGCAAACAATCATCACAAAATTGGAGGAGATCGCAAAGGTGAAGAGCTTCTTCGTTCGGCGAAAAGACTGGCGAGTGAGCATAGAAGGCACGAGGGAAGGTTTGAAGGGTCCATTGACAATCGGCGCTGAGATATTTGAGCTCACACCAAGCCTGGTGGTAGTGGAGGTGAAGAAGAAGGCAGGGGATAAGGAAGAATATGATGACTTCTGTAACAGGGAGTTGAAACCTGGGATGCAGCATCTCGTACACCATATGGGATCAGTTCCAAATATACCTTCTGATACGGAGTAGTTTGAACTAAGAAAGGTAGTTCTCTTTCTTGGAGGGGTATAAGGAAATTTTGGATTAAAAGTATATGTCTATGCAAGCATGAACACCTGAGAGGCAAAATGATACCCAATTCCTTTAGACCAGTGTCCATGTTTTGGTGCTGTTCGTTTCTTCAATCGAAATGATGTATGCTAGTGTTTGCATGCTAATATCAGCTATCAAATGTCTGTTTTTAGCTGTTACAGTTTAAAGAGAGTGACAAATCTGAGTATATGGCATCAGTATCAATGAAGTGGACTAGACTTTTATGTATGCCGCAGCAGTGCAGCCATTTGTATTTCTATGCTGCCAGTTAGTTCTCTGAATACATATGACATCAACACTGAAGAAATTAGCTCGAAGTGCTCTAAAGAAGTTCTGTTTTGGGATTAAAATTGTAAATATAGGGTGAATGAATAAATTAGACAAAGCGTTAGCATTCTAAGTATCTAGTTGTTTATTACTTCTGTGCATCAATTTGAATGCACACTTCTGTATACCATTGTTGTGCTACCTTTTGTTTAAGTAACTCAAATACTGTATACTGGTGTTGTGGAAACATCGTTAAACAAACAACTGATAGTTTACAATGCTCATCTATGGAATTCTTCATTGTAATTTTGCGACATAGTTCAGTCATGCTACCAATAACTGCTGTGGATGGTTCCAGATAGGTCCCTGCTCATGGGATGCAGCGGAAAATAGCTAATATGCTTAATTAACTCTCTTCAGGTAATGGAGGTATTTTCATCCTTGTTTCAGCTGGCATTCACAGTTCAGATATCTATATACATGGAAATTAATTGTTTGAATACATTATAAGGCCAAATTTTATAAAAATTACATCATCAAGATTTTTTTTCAAGACATGCTGAATGATAAATTGCAACGCAACAAGAACTAAGAATTTTGAGAAAAATACTGGTGCTTTCATATTGCTGTACATGGCAGAATTGTTAAATTACAGAGATGTTGAAAATTTCCTTCCTATTCAAGCATATTTCTCATAGAGTCGTGGTCAGGATAAGTGATGAACTTCTGTTTTCCTTTTATCTTATTTTAGATGTTTCTTAGTTTCTTTAGGCTTTTTGTACAAGTTGAGACTTGTGGTTTACGAATCCTACTATATTCCTTTAGAAGCTATATGTGCCAAAGAAAACCAAGGAGGCTTTGTATTCCTTTTCCATTAACAATTCATTGCATGTTGTCTGTTGCACTCCTAATGATCAAACCATCTATGTAGATCCTTGATGAACAAAGATGCAGCAGTTTCCAAGCACAAGCATGGACTCCCAAACACATACTCAACGTGAGCATATGCAAGTCGAAGTGCATGCATCAATCAGTATTGAAGTTATTGCTTTGCTGAATCGTTCTTTATGTTAACTTCAAGCATATTAATGTGTGGTGTTATTTGTAACTTAAGAATAAAGGCTTATAATGGCTTTGAAGTTGTGCCTTGGCTTCAACTAGCAACTTCCTTTTGCCCAACGTACTGCTACATTCTGTGATATGGTTTTATAGTTCACAAACAGTTAGGAGAAGTGCCGAATTGTCCAGCTATTTTAGCTGTTCATATAAAATCCGTATGTGTGGCTTTTGTTTTCTTAAGTTGTCCCTATAATTAGGTGAGCCGTATATCTGTTGTAAGTCATATCGAATCACACGAACATGTTCTCATTTTAGTCATTTTAGTAGTGAACAGATGTTCAGTGGTTTTGAATAATTTGGCAGATTATTAACTATATCTAAGCTGGGATGGCAGGTAACTGTTGATTTCTTCTTTCCACGGATGGCTTTTTTCCTGCTGGTTGTAGGCTGGACGATTTGAAGATTCATGTGGCAGTTTTTCTAGTGTTAATGTAGCTATTACTGGGGATATCCCAGGCTTGATTGATCCTACATTGATCCATCAGTGCTGTTGTTAGAAAGAGTCTTGGCTGGACCAATGACATGGTCAGTTTGAACCTAAGCACCATTAAACATTATTTTTCATATGGGCGTTCCAACTCAAAACTTCATGTCGTACTTACTTGACTACTAATATCTCCTTGACATATTCACCTCAAAAAACAAAAAAAATCCTTGACATACGGGCCTTAGCACACGTTAGCTAGACAATAAGTACTAGCAAAGATAGAGAAAAACTCGAGTGTCTGTCACGAGAAATATTCTATCTTCTTGTTCTGTTTTTCTTGGATAGCATGCAACTTTGTTATCAAGATTATGATTGATCCAAAGAGGGTAAAGCAAAGGGGGAGACATTTTCATTAAGCATGTACTGACTGACATCAATTGTAGCAAATGGTTTTATTCCTAGCATTGTTACTTTCAGCAAGCTTCATTTCTGCACAATCAAATGACCAGCTGTCTGTGATTATTACCCACTTTCTTGCTGTGCTCAGCTACAGATTGAAAATATAACAAACACAATTACATGCCCCCACGACGACGATGACCCTCCTCCCAATCCACAAACTGTTTGTTCACAGCTTCACAGGATCTCTCAACAGCTTGAAACCCCAACAAATCCGGGCATAGATAAATATTCCCTCTTCTAAGATAACACCTCCAAATCGGCCGCGACGACGTGGGGGCCAACACACCCCAAAGTCCCATCATTAACAAGTAAACAGCGCTGTCAATCACCTAACCAGTCCACTGGCTATCCATCATGCACGCCGCTAAGTCATCTGTAGTGGCCATGAGAGAACTCGACATCCTTTTTGAGACCCTTCCGTTCTCACGACGGCGCATTGTCAAATACCATCCTTTTCTCATGATAACGCATTCTCAAACAGTTATGCTATTTCACTAGTGACAATTTTTGACTCCTATCTTTTAATTTTTTTATCCATAGAATCTTGCATCAAGATTCTTGTACATATAAATCCAGCTTGCAATTATAATTGATTACATACCACTTACACTCAGTTACATTGTACTTGCACTCAGTTGCAGAGCAATTACACTCATTTTTACTATGCAAGATTAGAGAGCAATTACTCCGCAAGATTTAAAGTTCTAAATCTATCGAAATATCAATAGGTAGGCCCATTCTCAAATACCATCCTCCCAACTAACTTTCCTTCATTTTTCCTCACTGAGACATTGCACCTAGTAGATCCAATGGTATTTTGAAACACAATTTACTCTATTATCACTACCACATCATCAACACAAGGTGACACCACACATGAAATGACCATGTTATCCTACCCTTTCTAATTCCACATTGGCATGCCGGTGCCAAGGAAGGAGAAGAGCTAGGTGGCCCTCGGTGAATATGGCGACTCTTTGGCAAACACGCGGGAGGAAGAATGAGAGTTGGGTTGTGGTAGGGGGGAAAAGGAGCATGGAGGTAGTAGGACGCTGTGGCGCATCGAGGAGAGGCGAGGAAGACAGGAAAGACACTAAAGTTGATGTGGCCCTTGCTAGCAAGGAAGCCTGCGTGGATACAATGGTGAGCTAAGGTGATCATATCTGGGAGGCCATGACGACGGCGAGGAGGAAGCATTTGAGGCCGAGGCCATCACAGGTCTAGCTAAGGTGAGCGAATTGGGGTGTCTACCTTGGCTTCGACCTAGGTTAGGAACCGTCATCGTTGACCTTATGGTGGCCCAAATTAGTGCACCCTTGATGGATATACATATGACCATGGCTGTCTCTGTGAATTTGGGGCCCCGAGACAAAATACAAATTGAGGCCCTAAATTTTAAAGTAAAAACTGTGGATTCATGATACAAGACAAAATGCTTTACAACTGAAATGAGTAGGAATCCATAGGGGGGTAGACAATACTTGATAGGTACATGTGTCCCAGATGGCAAGCTTGACCTTGTTGCTCATTAACCACTTAACCTTGAAGTTGACACCCAGATATAGGATCCGAGAGGATAAGCAAGAGCCATGGATCCCCAGCTAAGGAAATAAATTAACAAGAAAAGGGGGCATATAACTAAATTTTGAGCTAACTGAGAGATGAAAGAAGATAGGAGATCGATATCACCTATGATGGGCGAGAAATCTTTAGAAGATTCAGGTTGTCAAAGGTGAAGTAGAGGAAGAGGATGCTCTCGTCCACGTCAGTCGTTGACTAGAAAATGACGAAGACAAAGAATCCATACTAACCTTACCCACCCCCTATGCTACGTTGGAAGGTTGGAACTTGGGATCATGGATGTGGGGATGATATCTAGGGTTTGATCTGGTACTTCTTGAATTCGAATGCTTCTACTCAATTGTATTGAGTAGATGCATAGAAGTTTTGTAGACGGTGGTGATGACTAGACGTGCAAGGATGAATTAGGATCAACGCGAGCGAGTCAATCTCGCATATTGGCCTACAGCCCGCTTTTCGCGAGACTTCCCACCCACTTGTTGTTCGGTTTGCACTTCCGCACGTCGCAGAATAGGAGGCTAGGCGGGTTTGGAATTTTTTTTTTTTGGTGGGGGGGGGGGTGTTGTTGTGCATGCGCCAATCTCGCACACTGCCCTTGACACCCCTGAAGATGACATGAAAGTGGGATGAGGTAGTTGCCGATGATTGCGGTGCCGCTAAGCTCGTTGCTAGCAAGGAAAGAACACTAGGTCGAGCAAAACACCAGAGCCAAACCAGGGGAAGCTAGCACAATATATGCATGAAAAAGATCTAGGGGGGAGAAAGCATGAAGGGATAGGGGCAAAATATATGCATGAAATGTTATTTTTGCATCCAGTGCCATGGCGCTCTCGTGAGGTCGCTGCATATTGTGTCCAAAATAATATAGTAGCGTGTGACTAGTTGGTGAAAAAAAATAAATTCGTCAAGTAAACGTGAAATAGTAGTGAAAAAATGAAACATAACCCCCTCCTCCTCCCTTGTAATGTTTTACTTCCTTTGTTCCAAAATGCTACTTCCTCCGTTTCACAATGTAAGTCATTCTAGCATTTCTCACATTCATATTAATATTAATGAATCTAAATAGATATATATGTCTAGATACATTAACATCAATATAAATGTTAGAAATGCTAGAATGACTTACATTGTGAAACGGAGGGGGCACTATATAGTTTTCGATGAGATATATTTTACTCCAATAAATTTTGAATAATTTTCTGTCAAATTCGTTGGACCGAAAATAATATTTTTGAAACGGAGAATAATAACCTTTTACCGTGTGAGCCGCGCGGGCGTACGTTCGTGTATGTTCGTCTCGCCCCGAACGAACGGGTACACCGTACACTTGACCGGACCAGCCGCGACCCGGCACGCCGGCACGTAGGACCCCGGGCGTTTTCCCCTCCCCTCGCGCGCACGCCCGCACGCGCGCGACGCGGCCCACGCCACGTCCCGTCCCTTGCCGACCTCCCGGGTGGCGCGGCGCGGGCGCGGGCGCCGGTGGAGAGGCCAGGAGCGCGACACGACGGAGTCGCGCGCGGAGACGTCGCCGTCGCGAGTGGTTGGTTACCACCCCGCACGCCTGCTGCTGCTGCTGTTTCGGTTTTGGGGTTTTTTTTTTTTTTAAGTGCGGAGCTTATCGCGGTCGGCGTCGTCGGGGCCTTTTTGCTTCGAGCGGACGGTGACGTCACCAGACCACCCCCACTGGACGATGTCGACGTCGCTTTCGCCTCCTCTCGCTTCGCTCGCTCTCACCCAACAATGGCGTGGAATTTTCAACCCACGAGTCCAACGTCTCACTGACGATTTTAAGCCTACCAGCTGTATGACTGTACCAGAAATGGTAGGTCCACTGCAATTAATCTCGCCCAAAAAATATATATAAAAAATAAAAATCTGCTAAATCTTGGAGCCAGTTTAATAGTATATCCACATGTTAGCTTTAAATTATTTATAACTAATTTAATAGTCTATTCAAACACCCGGTCATACCTCTCATACACACATAACGTTTTGGAGTCCGTATTACAGTTAGCTACAGATCCGTAGCCCACTTTCTTCTCTCTCTTCTCTTTTCTTGTCGATATGTGGTTATAGTTGGTTATTTTACTTCTCTTAGTGGAGAAATGCTAAGGGGTATTTCGGCTAGCTCCGCAAGATTGTGGGCTAGATGATTTTAAGCCTCACTCTTTCTAATTATTGTTATTAGCTCCTTCGCTAATACTATTCACGTCTTTTTTTTTTCTTTCTGTTTAGTGCCAGCCAAACCCGACCCGCTGTGACGAACAGGAAACTGATTACTACGCGCCATAAGCACGAACGCAAACGCGAGCACTGTGTCAACTGTGCTACGACCCAATCGTTTTTATTATTACGTGGCGGGCGTTAATGCGTGGGCCCGACGCGTTTACTGGCCCCACGTGTCATGTTTAGGGGTGGGAGGCGTATAATTAGGGGAGAATTCGAAGATCTTTAGGCATTTCGGCGAGACGAGCGGAGGCGCACGAGAGCACGATGAGGATTTGATTTTCTTTTTCTTTCTTTTGGTTTCAAGTCTCATCGCCAAATTTCGTTTTCGATTTTTTTTATTTTTTTTGCTCGTCTCGTCTCGTGTCTACCCTTTATTCATCCCTCTTCTCGCGTTGGTGCTCCTCCGCCCGATCTCTCGTCTCGAAGCTTCTGGAAGCTTCGGGGGGAGGGATCCCGGGCCGGGCTCGCCCGCCATGGCGCTGTGGCGGTGTAGCTCCTCGTGGCTCTCGTCGGTGTCGCGCTCGTCGGGGGGAGTCGGCGGCGGCGAATCGAAGGTGTCGCCGGAGATCGCGCCGGTGAGCGGCGGGGAGGGGGAGGGAGAGGAGGAGGAGGGGGAGGAGGAGAGGTGGTCGCGGCTGCTGCCGGAGCTGCTCACGGAGATCATGCGGCGCGTGGACGCCGGCGCCGAGCGGTGGCCGCCGCGGCGGGACGTGGTGGCCTGCGCCTGCGTCTGCCGCCGGTGGAGGGACGCCGCGGTGTCCGTCGTGCGGCCGCCGCTGGAGTGCGGGCGGATCACGTTCCCTTCCTCGCTGAAGCAGGTGAGCCTGAGCGCCCCCCGACCTAACCGCTATCATCTTGATCTGGCTGAACTTACATGATTTTAATTTTTGTGTGGGGGAAAATTTTCTTTCGTCCTATGACTCTATGAGGGTGCTCGAAGGCTGTTCGAGGACATGTTTTTCTTGTTCGATCTGTACGATTCGAGCTGATTTCCGGATGAATTGTTGGTTTGATTGTTGTTCTTTTTTACTCATACCTGTATTTTTAAGCTTTCGTTTGGGTTTCAATAATCGCCTGATTACAAGTATTCTTAAGCGAGGAGCACATGTCCATCCACTCGTCCTTGTTTTCTGAATTTGGTCGCCCCGCACTTTACTATGGCGACCAACAAAGTGATGTGGTAGGTGAAGTTAGTAAAGAAATATGGGTCTTTGGTATGCTCATATATGAAAATGCTAATTGTGACATTTGGATTTTGTTTTGGTCTGTTAGTAAGAGTATTTTGATGCCTAAAGGCACAATCTTTAGTTCACTTTAGGTCTCTATAATTGATTTAGTTGTTTTTTTTTTGACAGCCTGGACCAAGGGATGCTCCGATGCACTGCTTCATCAGGAGGAACAAAAAGAACTCGACCTTCTACCTTTATCTCAGCTTAACACAGGGTATGTCATAATGGATAATTTGAGCCTTTGAGGTTCCATCGTGGTTGTGGCCCCATGCTATTGTGGATTGGGTAGACGGTTTTGTAGACTGCGTCAACTGGGTTTACATATTGTTCTTTGATTTAATTGACGGAGCCGTAAACAAAATAAAACTCTATCAACTGACTTTCTGGTGGCTTCTGCTCTATCAATGATGTGGGTGTTGCAACTGTGCAATTAAATGAATTCTTGTTCAGACAATGGCAAATCTAGTAGGTAGTAAGCACGTTTTTAAAACAAGAAAAAAAATTATCTGCTAACGCTATCAAGGTCCCTTCTATGTATGACTTGTGAATTGTGACGTGCGATCTTCTTATAGTTGTTCTTAATCTTGTTTTGAAAAAGGGAGGATTTTTCTTCTTTTAATCCATCACAAGCCACAACATCATTTGTGACAAGGACCCTTGCACCTACTTTGCTGCCCACGTACATTATTTAAGGGACTTACATAACAGAATAATGAATATTTGACTAATTGACTTTGGTCTTGTTGTCCATAAAAAACATGACTTTGGTCTTTGGTAGTTGACAACTTATTTCTATTGAATACATTTTCGTTGGGATAACTTAGAAGTTACTCAGAACCTATGATCTTGGTATAGTATTAGACTCTTATTGGCCAGGGTCATCATAAAGTTTGAAAGCATTAACTGTCTGACATCCTATCATGGATCGAACGAGAGGCTGCATAACCATGATGTACCACCAATTACACATTGAGCTTTGTATGATCTGACAAAGTATAACAACACAAATTGTGTCCATTGTTTTATCATTTCTTTTTTTTTTGTTTAGGCACATCAAAATTATTTGTTGCCCGTGACTGCCCTGTTGATTGATTGTTAACAACTACATGACTCATGATCATATAAATAACTAAATAAGGGTGCAGTACAGCCTCACCAATGACTAAACACAGCACCTGTTGTGTTCAAACTTTTCTATGCCACTTCTGAGAATTATAAGTCAAATTACTAGGAAAACAGAAGGTACTGTGGAATTCATGTTTCTGAGGGGATGTATATGTCAAACCTGATGGATGCTTCTAGATATTAGAAGGTTAGGCACAACTATGTTTCGTTGACAAGTTTAAGGTTCTAGAATGAACCCGAGTACCCTATGGATAACCTTATTATGTTGAGCGATATTCTCAATGTGAAGATTGTGAATCTTATCACATGATTTGCAACTTTTGGTTATGAAACTGTAATACAATCCTCTTATGTTGGTGACTGAATCAAGGCTTATTTTCCTGATATGCTTGTTGCTTCTTAAGTATTAGACTGCAAAAAGAAAAATACGATCTTCAATTTTTTGCTCTCTTTTGGCAGCCCTAACGGATAAAGGAAAGTTTCTGCTGGCTGCTCGAAGGTTCAGAAACGGGGCACATACAGAATATATCATTTCCTATGATTGTGATGATCTATTTCCAGGAAGCAATTCGTATGTTGGGAAACTGAGGTTGGGTCCAATCATTCCATTAGGCTACTGCCTTTGCTTTCTTTGCAAGCATCATAAAGTTGTGCCACACTCTAATTGTACTCTAGTAATAATTTTACTGCCATCTTTCTTCATGTTATCATCATATCATCAGTTATCATGTTGCCTGCCTTGTTGAATAACGTGACCCGTTCATGTATCATTTTCATAGCATGCATTAATATCTAATATTTAGGTTCCGATCAAGCTTGACATTATTCAAAATGCAATATGACTTGGTATACACCTTTCCCTTCATGGTTTGTGTTTAAAATGTAGAGTGAAGGCATTAAGAAAGAGTCATCTGTGGAAGATGAACAAGACACAAACATATAGCGGTTGCTTGGGATAGTATATCTTTTCTAATTAGCTGCGCAGGGCATTTATATTTTTGATAGCTGGGTTTACATTGTGATCAATAAAATCATCTTTCAATTCCTAAGCCGACAAAACCGCTCTACTTGTGGCCTCCTGGGCTGACCATCTATTTTGGGGTAAATCTCAGAAGTGCCACCCACTATCAAGTTTCGAGTGCATTTGATCAAGTGATTAGAAGTTTTCTAGTGTGTATAAACCACACTTTTATTCAAGTTATTTTCCCACTATATTCATTTATTAGCTGGAACACTATTTTGATCGGTTAACTTCTTTGTACATGTAGATCTGACTTCCTGGGTACAAAGTTCATCATCTATGATAGCCAGCCACCATACGATGGTGCAAAGCCCTCACGGAGCCAATCGAGTCGTCGCTTTGCAAGCAAACAGATTAACCCAAATGTTTCAGGCGGTAATTATGAAGTTGGACAAGTGTCATACAAGTTCAACTTCCTCAAATCAAGAGGACCAAGAAGAATGCAGTGCAATATCCAGTGCCCCGTAGGCCAGAGCACCGCATCAGATCCATTGAAGAAGCTGATTAGCACCTCAAGCCCCTTGGCTCTAAGAAACAAGGCACCACGATGGCATGAGCATCTGCAGTGCTGGTGCTTGAATTTCCATGGCCGGGTGACCGTCGCCTCGGTGAAGAACTTCCAGCTCGTTGCTCCAGCTGGCACCAGCGATCCATGGGGCATTGCAGATGAGGAGACAGTGATCCTGCAGTTCGGTAAGATTGAGGACGACGCGTTCACGATGGACTACCGGCAGCCGCTGTCAGCCTTCCAGGCGTTCGCCATCTGCCTCACAAGCTTTGGCACGAAGCTGGCCTGTGAATAAGTGTAACTTTTGGGTTTGATGATGATTTACACCGTGCATATGGATGGGATCTCCGTTGATAGCGCGGATAGCCTGAAGCCCTGAACTATAGCGCCCCTGTTGAACCAGGAGAGTAAGGTGTAAAAGGGCGACAGGGGCACACTGCACTGAACACACCGTGTCCCTAACTCTCGACTCTCTCTTCTCTTTTTCTCTCGTCTAATGATGTGGATGGACTTGGTTTATGTTGATCTTGGAGAGATGATGGTATAACTCTTTGTTGTAAATGGCACTCCTTTTCACTTGCTGATGTACCCCGTGCATAATGAATGTACCATTCTCCAGTCGAGTTTGCCCCTGGTCTCTTTGATAAAGGAAGCTTTTATTGGAATCAGACGATATAACTGAGACGCATACAGCAAAAGTCACACCGAACACCCATAAAAGAGTTACTCCCCCTATCCAACTCGAAGTTCGTTTCTATTTGACGCCGTTTACTTTTTTTAAATATGTTTGACCGTTTATCTTATTAAAAAATAATTATTAATTTTTTCTATTATTTAATTTATTGTTAAATATACTTATATGTATATATATATAGTTTTATATATTTCATAAAAGTTTTTTAATAAGACGAACGGTTAAATATGTGTTAAAAAGTTAACGGTGTCAAATATTTAAAAATGGATGGAGCAATTAGTAAAAGCCATGCCGCTGATCTCTGGCATTCCCTTTACTTTGTTCTCTTCAGGCCGAAGTTGGCTCCGAACAGGAGTGATTTATCAGTTTGATCACCAAGGACGATGGACAACGTTCCATGAGTTCTGACCAGTGACAACGGTTGTACCGTGTAAAGCGTACCTCCTTCGCCACGGTCGCGGCAAAAGCGCACGATGGCGCGAGAGACCAAAGGGTATGTTTGGGGGAGTTTTAAATTCTGTGAAGCAGCTGTTTGGTAGCCAGCTTCTGAGAATCTGGAAAAGCTCTGAAACCCAGCTTCTCCAGCTTCTGGCTTCTTAGTTCATTTTTCAAAATCTGTAACTCAAAAGCTGTGGACTGTTTGGGACAGCTTCTAGCAGAAACAGCTTTTGGAAAAAGCTGCAGCTAGGAAAAGCTCCCCCAAACGGGGCCCAAAACCGTTTGTCTACCGCCGGTCCCTTATAACATTTGGCCAGGCCGAGACAGAGAGTGCCTAGGCCGTGGCCAGTGCGGCCCATATCCTGTGGGCGTTCGGCCGAATCGGCCCATGTCGCTGTCCGCTCCGCACGCCATGGCCCATACGCCTGGACGCTGGACACTCGTGATCGCCGCATAAATTCGGAGAAAAATGCAGTGGACGAGGGGGGAAGAGCTGCGCAGCATATAGTGCCAAATTTCGGACTCTGAGCTTGTGAAGTACTAGTAGTACATGATCTATTCGCATCACATGGCAGTATTAGCGCTAGTTCATCGGCCGCAAATTCTCTCTGCAAAATGAGCAGTATTTACACTTAAACCTGCTGGTTCTGTCATGGCTTCTTTTCCATATTACTCCTACGATCTACTCCCTATGTCCTATTTTAAGTGCAACCATGAGTTTCCGTGACCAAGTTTGATCATCCGTCTTTATTTGAAATTTTTTTATAATTAGTATTTTTGTTGTTACGAGATGATAAAACATGAATATTACTTTACTCGTGACTTATGTTTTTAATTTTTTTTAAAATTTTTTCAAATAAGACGGACGATCAAAATTGGGCGTGGAAAACTATGGCTGCACTTAAGATGGGACGGAGGGAGTAGCTTGGCAGTTGGCAAGATAAGAGATAGCTGTAACTAAATTCAGGTGACTGTATTAAATTAATCAGGTAGGCGAACTGCAGTAATTCGACATTGTGCATGCATGATTAATTCACAATCACAGGCATTTCCCCTTGAACTAGTATATACAAATACAACACGAATGGAGCTGCAAGAACAGCACACTTGCAACACTTTAATTGTAGATTAGTAGTAGTAGCGTGTATGAGCAACCATTGGCCCAGTCGTCTCAGTGGTCATGTCTCAGAATCCAATGGACCAAGCTTCAATTAATTTCCTGTGAACCTAAACAATCTGGACACAATCAATACAATTACAAGTTAGCACTGACAATGCAATTACCAGGACATAAAAAGTACAGTAAAATGCTACTCCTAATAGAAGTATTACGCTATGATTTCTGTAGATCATGTATTCGCATTTGCCGTGGCCTGGCATGGCCGTCGGCCACGAGCTTGGCCGGAGCTCGGGACGAACACCTTGGAGGTGGAGACTGCTTCTTGTGCTGCACGTGGATGCCGAGGAAGGAGGTCGCCGGAGGGTTGCTCGACACGGACGGCAGCGCCCGCGAGAGCCAGGACTCCGACGGCGACTTCATCGACGGCAGCGGCGGGAGCGGAGGCACCATGTCACGGCTCGCCGCGGCCTTGTCCTCCAATAGCAGCGGCCACCCGTAGCCGCCGCCGCCGCCGCCTCCGCCGGCGCCGGCGGCGTCGCGCCTTTGTTTCTTCCCGCCGTCGAACACCTTGGGCGGCGCCGGCCTTGGGAAGCGAGGAGGCGGCAGCAGCTTGGGATCGTCGTGGCTGTCGTGGCATTGGTCGTGGCTTCTGTCTAACACCAGGAGGAAGCCGAGGTGGGTAGCCTTGGGGTGGACGGCGCCGTCTCCTTGTTCCAGGTAAAGCTCGCGCACCGACGGCATTGTCGTGTCCAGCTCCGGCGACAGCAACGCGCCGATACCCTTCCGGCCGCCGCGGCCTGATCGCCGGAGGGAGTTGATATACACTTCCTCCCAGGATCGCTGCAACGACGCACCGGACGAACAAGTGAGAATCGCTCGCGTTTTGATTCGTCGCGCGGCAGCAGGTGGAGGTGGAGGAGATGTTTGTTGCTGCTTACCATGATGCCCGTGTCGTGCGCGCTCCGGACGAGTGGGTTCCCCAAGCTTTGGCTCCTGCCGATCTTGGAGAGGAGGGGCGCGCCGCGGTCTCGCCGCCGGCCACCGCCGCGGCGTCTCATGGCGGGCGCTGGGTTGAGGAGGAGCAAGGTGCTCTTCATGCACCGCGTGGGAAGAAGCAGCCCGCACCTCCTCGACGAGACGCCCCGCGTACTGTGCGCGTCCCACTCGCCGCCGCCGCCGTTGTCGTCGACGGCGGCGTCGGCGTCGTCGGTCTTCTCCCTCGGAACGATGCACAGTGTTCGAATCGTCGGCGTTGGCTCGGGAGGAGGCAGCAACGCGTCGGCGCCGTGGCCGTTGCGCGCGGCCGCCGCGGCGACGCTGGCCTTCCGGGAGCTGCATTGCGGCGAGAGGACAGCCACGGCGTGCGCCGCCGGCAGGAAGCGGTCCATCATGACGCCGCCGCCGACGCCGACGCCGCGCGGAGGCTGGGCGACGGCGTCGCTGAGGCCGCTGGCGCTGCTGCAGTTCACGGTGAGGCAGCTGTCCGCCACGGAGAGCGCGTCGGAGAACCGCGCCTCCTGATCCCGCTCCCGCACCGGCGCGGCGACGGCGACCACCGCCATGGCGTCGCGCGCGGGCTCCTCGTCCCTCGCCGTGGCGTGCACCATCGTCGCGCGCCGGGTGCGGACGCTCTTGGGATGACCGGGCCGCGTGCCATCCGTCCGCGTCGCCGCCTCGCCGGCGGCGCCACCGCCATGGCGCCGCACGGAGACGAGCGGCGCGGCGAGGTCGATGCGCCTGTTCGCGTCGGCCATGACCGGCGCCGCGAGCTGCCTCCTCGCCTCGCCACCACTTGTCACTCTCGCTGTGTCACTGGCCTCGCCACTGCACTGCAGCATTGGCATTTTGGGCAACCAAATTCCAAATAATTTAAAGGAGGCTTCTTGCAACAACCTGCCTAATAAAGAGCAAAGAGTTCATGTAATATTCAGTGCACAGTAGCTTGCATGGTGACTGGGAGTAGTTAGTTGTCTATGTACTTGTTTACTCACTCAGGACGTGGCAGGAAGTGGCCACCTGAACTACATGTTGCTCGTTGTTAACTTGTCAGATTGGTCTACTATGCAACACCAACTACATGAGCCAAGATTGGTCCCATTTGTTTCTGATTAACATATAACACCCCCCTCCCTCCGTATAAAAAAGAATCAAATCCTGGCCATTAACCTGGGTAAATGTTTGTCCCGATTCATAGCTATGATTTAAATTATTTTTGGATGAAGAGATGTCGATTTCTATTAGCAAGTTTTTCAGACTGTTAATTAGTGTTTTTTCTATAAAAAATTTTTATATAGAATTTACTCTAAAATATTAAAAAAAATCATTTTTAAAATTTGTAATGATTAATCATACGTTTTATGTGCCATCGAAAATCTTCATCTTTATATAAAACGAACGGGGGGAAACTACAAGTGAAAACATGGAGAATTAATTATAGTTCTCGGTGCTGGTTCTAGTGCACATGACCACATGATTAGTTATCAAACATGACTAGTCATCCATCTCTCACGCAGTAGGTGAATGTCTGATACAATTCGATCTGCAGATTGGCTGCTTCTCCGGCTCAAAGGAGGAAAAGAGCGGACGACCTGGTGTCCTCTCTGATAAATTCTCCTTGGACTTAAGCTGCAACTGCATCAGCATCACGCGATGCATGTCAAGTTCTTTGGAGAGCTTAACGACCGGTAGGTAGATGACCATTTCTCTTGTCGACAAGAGAGAGCTCAATAATTCAGCAGCAGATGCACAGTCATCTTCGAGCTCATAACGCCTTGTGGATTTACGTCAAAACCGGTCGTTTTCCGTCGCCGGCGAGGAGGGTCGCCGCCGACACTGTCTTCTCCTTCTCCTTCTTCTTCTTCTTCTTCAGTTAGCTAATCTAGTACAACCACTGACAAAAGTGGCAATAGAAAATGGCAAAATGGGATGGAGAAAACGGCTATGGCAGTGACGATAGGATGAAATTCCATGTATTTTTGCCGTTCAATCATAGAAGAAGTGCTTTTATAGGGTAGTTGAAGCTTTGCATTTAAGCTATGTAGGTACCCAACGACTCCATGATCTGCCAATACTTTGTTTCTTTGAATTCATAGACCATTAAGAAATTGATATAGCATTGATCAATACTGTTGTCACATAGATCACCGTTATCTATGAAAAAAAAGAGAGATCACCAAACTGTTGTGATACACTTGATGGGGCATTGAGGAAAATAATTCAAAATTAAGTTATGAGCACTTGTCAATGTTATCATCTTATTATGCATCTGGCACTACTACTAAATATTGGAGTATCTAGGTAGGGAACAGAATAGTCGCTAGGACCGTTACAGTGGCATTGTTTCGCCTATAGCTTATTATAGACCGGAACACTTATTAATGATAAAATAATTTCTCGGTAAATTTTTTATATATACTTGCCTAGTGATTTAAAAGCCAATGCTAAAAAATAGACCATGATGTAAAAACATGAAAATCAACACAAATTAAAATTTAAATTGGTTATGGCTGACAAGTGGAATTTCTTTTGAGTTTTTACATGTGCGGGCGTTCCTTTGGTTGTTTTACTCTTAATTCTGCATTGTGTAGCTGACATGTGAGTCCATATAGAATTTATGTCCGTCCGATTTCTTCTCTAAAAAAATGTCCGTCCGATTCAGCGTCAGGCAAGACGAAAGCACAGTGGAAACCTGAAGCCAAAGTAAAATGCTCTGCAAAGAAGAACATTGTGTTATCTAAGGCACACATTCTAAACACTGTCTCGACTTGGTTATTTCTTCGATTTTCATTAGCACATTTTTTAAACTATTAAATAGTGTATTTCGTATGAAAACTTTCGTATAGAAGTTGCTTTAAAAAAATCAAATTAATTAATTTTTTAGTTTTTAATAATTAATACTTAATCAATCATATGCTATTCACGTATTACGTTTTACGTGCGGCTAATCAATATAATTTAAAACACATTTTAGAAATACTAACTAAGATAATTGTGCAGCTCATGATCTTGGGATGCAGATCCTCTGCTGGGGATCTCGTTCCCATGATCTGAAATATGATGAGTTCTCAGCTCACTTCGCGGGCAGACATGACGATTGCACGTTGTTCCTGATCCTGAACTTTCAAGGGACCATTCTGAATTTCTGATGCCTCGTGGCTTTCACCATCAGCTCAGATTTAATCGAAGTCGTAGGCATGCTGATCCGATGAACGCTAACAGCGGGCCGTGTATTCAGGGTTGGAATAAGTTCACTTTATGTCCCTTATCGAATCATGGCCCACGTATACGGACCAGCCCATTATATTTAGGCAGCCCGCTTTAAACCAGAAAGGATTTATTGGGCTGAAAAATTATAAATCTTGGCCCACAATCTTCCAAGGCCCAAAATTCGTACAATTATCTCGACCCCCAAAACGACTTTATTACTTTTTTTTTCGTAAATATGCGCTAAAAATAAGTTACAGGTAAAACCTTCTATGTATGTATTTTTCGCGATATAAAAGTTAATGTTAGAAAATCATAATATTGTCTCGTTCTTTTCTCCAACAAGAGTTGGATAAAGATTAAGATTTTCGTGGCACGCTTTTCAAACCGCTAAGCGGTGCGTTTCGTGGGAAAACTTTCTATATGAAAGTTGCTATATTTTTCAAGTTTATAATAATTAAAACACAATCAATCATACGTTAATATCACATCATTTTGCGTAAAAAAACTTCATCTTCATTTTCGGGAGAAAATAACACCACCAGAAAACGAACCCCCTTTTTTTTTTGCGGGGATGATGAAACAAACCTTTAAATCAACTCTTAGAATTCAAATATTGGTTGTAGGCTTGTAGCCGATAATAATTAAGCTAATAAAGAAATGATCGAGCTGTATCTTCATCTCCTACCCGTACCTGCGATTTCTGAGTTCTGACTAGGAGAGGCGCGAGATGCTGCAGGTGCAAGCCGCCAGGTGCAATCTTTGAAGCTACATCTCCGTGCGATCCAGTACTTGCCGGTGACACCTCGCATCAAACCAGGTAAGATATAGCACTCGGTTTAATTCTGCTCCAATTTATCTCATCCATACATGTCAAATATGACAAGAGAAATTGTAGGTGAAAGAAAATAGAGATATTTAATTAAGCTTGCTTACCTGATGCTCTGAATTCTGATGGTAACAATCCATCATGTTTATGAAGCTATCAGTCTAGCAAGAGTTCGATAACAGGTAGGTGGTACGAACCGGAGAATCAATCTGATGGAGGCAGAAGTTCTTCCATCTGCATGATGAACTCCTGCATAACTTCTGAAGAAAAAGAGAAGATGATACTTTAATTATGACTTTTATGAACAGTGCACTGCAACCAGATTAAGCATTCGCGGTTAGTCAATCGAAGTACTAGTGTACTATATGCGCGGAGTTAATTCTGAAGCGAACTCGCGCACCTACCAAACGTCCCCAAGGCTCGCCTCTTTCTGCGATATAATTCCGGATATATCTGAATTTCTTTCAAGTTTCAAGAAGAACTCGCTCTTGGTGTCAAAGAAGAACAAGGAGAAGAAGTTGATTCTTTGCTTGTCATGATGCTTGTCCGCACAGTGAAGAAACCGAGCAAGTTCGAAGATTCCGACACTGTCACGGCCAAACCGGCCAGGTATTTGGTAAATTTTCGAGCAAGTTTGCATGATACGAATTTGCATTTTCAAGAAAAGATCGATTCAAATTTGTTTTTTATTTTTAGTTTTTTTTTTGTTCTGGAGATGAATTGGCAATGATCAAACGTGTTTGGTTTCAGGGCCGTGTTTGAGATGCCGCACCGGACGTCGCCGCGAGCGCCGGTGCGCTCGAAGACGACGGCGGCGGCGCCGGCCGCGGCCGGCTCGGAGCACCACCGCGACCGCGTAGTCGTCGGCGCCGGCGGCGGCGCCGCCCGTGGCACGTCGCCGCGAAGCCCGCAGCTTCCCGAGGCAAGGATGCTCTAGCTAGTGACACGAGCAATGCAGGCATGCAGCTAAGCTAGCTACAGTGTGTCAGTGTGTTATTCTTGACGAGTGTTTGCATGGTGGCGTGCTTGCAGAAGAAGCCGGCGGGCGGCGGCGCGGCCGTGTCGCGGGTGGCGGAGCTGGAGGCGAAGCTGGGGAAGGCGGAGGGCCAGCTCGCCGAGATGCGGGAGCAGCTCGCGGCGGCGGAGAAGGCGAGGAAGGACGCGCGCGCCGCGCTCGTGGAGTCCAAGAAGCGCTTCTCCGCCGCCAAGAAGAGAGTCGCCACCGCAGGCGCCGCCTCCTCGTCGGCGGCCGCCGAACAGACGCCGCCGCAAGCCGTCAGCGACGAGAAATGCGGCGTGATCTCGCCGGCCGGCGATGTCCCTGAGGCTGCCGAGCCGGGCGACGCCCAGGGTGAGGAGACCAAGGAGATGGCTGATGATGATGAGGTGAACAGCGTCACCGCCGCCATTGTTGGAGACCTTGAAGGGAACAAGGGAGGGCAGGAGGTCGAACAGCTGAGGACGAAGCTGATGGAGAAGGACATGGAGGTCTACGAGCTGAAGGCGAAGCTGATTGCGATGGACGCCGAGGCGGACGATCTCCGGGCGAGCTTGGCCACGAAGGGCATGGAGATCGACGAGCTGAGGGCGAAGCTGACGTCGAAGGACGCGGACATCGCCGCCGTCGAGGCCGACAACGCCGAGCTGATGAAGATGGCGGAGGAGGCCTCCCATGCCGTGAAGGAGACGGCCACGAAGGCGAGGGACACCGAGCACGCGCTGAGGGAGAGCGCGGCGCGGGAGGCGGCCCGTGTCGCCGAGCGCCTGCGGGCGTCGGAGCGCGCGCGGGAGGCGCTGGAGGCGGAGTTGCAGCGCGGCCGCGCGCAGAGCGAGCAGTGGCGCAAGGCGGCCGAGGAGGCCGCCGCGGTGCTCGCCGCGGTGGAGCACGGCGCCGGCGCGCCCGCCGCCGACGTAGAGTGGCGGCGCCACAGCTCGGGCGCCGCCGCTGGCGAGAGGGTGGCCAAGGACACGGACGAACACCACGTCTCCGGCGGGAAGCGGAACAGCGGCGGCGCCATGCGGATGCTCAGCGAGCTGTGGAAGAAGAAGGCGCAGAAGTGATCTTCGAGAGATATGGTTGGCGGGAAGCGATGGTGTTCGCGCGATTGGGAATTCAGAAATTTCACCGGCTTTATATATGCATCAGTTTAATTTACTTGTTTATCTTGCTTAATTTAAGACGTGTTTGGTAAAAAAAATAACATTATTTTGTGTTGTTTTTGAATTACTGGGTGCCTAGAACCTGTGAGCAAACCGCATTTTGCGTAGTGCTAAGTGTATAACATTATTGTTGAGTTTTGGTTATGATTGAGAAGAAAGTATTGAGACTCTGCTGTGGTCATCTTTATCAAATGTCATTTTGGCTCACTTTGTATGGAATGTCACTAATTGTGGCTTTGATGTTGGCTAAACAAGTTTAACCAACAATGTTGACATGACTAGAATGTCTTAATTTGGGGATTGTGGTAATGTGGCAACTTAACACAATGTAATGTTGTTTCTGCATCTCACTCATGATGAAAAGCAATTGTGAAGAAAGTTCTTTTTTTCATATCCTTGTTAATTAAAATGATAATGAGCTAAACTGGTTACGTTTCTTGTGGTGAAATCTATCCATCCAGGTTCAAGTTCTAGACATGGTATGGGTATCTTGCATTTGTGGTTATTTTTTTAGTAGCAAGCGTCATACTCGTCAACAATCACTGATAGTGACATCGTTAATCTCAAGACACGTTGACCTGATCTTCGAAGGCGATTATAGGATGGTGTGTGCGTGTGTATTCGTAGATACGAATATACACGTATGTATATGAGCGTTTGTATTTGTACCGTTAGTTAGGAAAAAAAACATGATGTAGACATATGGCCAAAATCTCTTAACAGGCCATGATCCAGGAGCCCATAATCCACTTAGGAAGATATTTCCTCTTTCATTTTTTAATGATATTTGCTGAAGAGGAGATGGATCTTCTCAATAATAAGAGATAAGCTATTTTTTCTTCAAAGAGAAAAATATATGCTAATTCGCAAAGGCAAATCACTTGTGCATATAGCACCAACAAAAGTCATGGGGCCAGGGGCATATCTGGAATTCAATTTTCATGGGATATATATATATATATATATATATATATATATATATATATATATATATATATATATATATATATATATATATATATATTGTTATGGAATACAGGAATACACACTGTTTACACTGTTACTGTTTTTGTTTTTGTTTTTATGATATATATGATCATGGGTGCATGCCAAAGTTGAGCAGGAAGCAAAAGGGCCCTACATGCATACACACCCACTCAATCTCTCAGCCACAAACATAGAGATCTATAAAAGGAAAAGACAAAAGCTAAGAGAGGACAGGAACTACAGCACAAAAAAAGCAGAAGCATAGATGCATGATCTCCCTGCTATTCCGCTGCTGTTGCTATTATATGACAGTGGTCCATTAGGACCTTTACAATGCGGTTAGGTGTCGAATTGTCTTGGAGCGCCAACTTGGATTTTCGCGTACGTGGTGATTAAACCCGTGCCTCTGCATAGCGCCTCGCTCCCACACAGGGGGACGAGTTCTCCGCCTCTCGCTAGTCCACACGCGAACCAAAAAAACCCATCATGCATGCGCTGTGAATCCCGTGCCTCCGTCTCCTCGTGCTAACATGCACTGTGGGGATGATTGCCTCGCGCCGATTTCACATCTTTAGGGAGGCCAGAGACACACCGCATTGCTCCTGCCCTTAGGCAAGCAAATCTGAGCAAAGTGTTTCTGCAGAAATTATTTTAATAATGTAGATTATTGCAAGCTTGTTCTCTTTGTGTGATCTGAATAGTCACCAAAAGAATTGAAATTGTCTTAACAATGTACATTATTGCATCACTTATGGTTCTACACACACAAGGTCAAATTTGGTCCATGAAAAGAAATAATTGTGCATTTGCTTGCACTTTTAGTAACATAGTTTTTCTCCATGTGTATAGATTGTTTTTTAAAACAGTACAAATACACATAAGCTCGTATAAACCTACACACACTTGCTCAATGAGTATACACTCTACCTCTATGATCATTTGTAAAGACTAGACCAATTTATCTTAAGATTAACGAAATTACCAAAGTCATCTCGTTGTTGACAGGTACCATGCCTAATACTAGAAGAATTACTAGTTGTAAACATGTATATGCTGATTTTGATATAACAAGTTTGCATAGTGATAATAAATAACATATACTATATATTGTTCATTTCTTTTTCATATTTCCTTATATTAATATTTTTAACCATTTTTAAAAACTGTCCTTGCGCTTGAGGACCTAGAGCAAGATTAGCATATAGTTGGAGGAGCCACGTAAGTTGTGGTACCCTGTGAAAAACCTACTTAGATATCATTTGAAACACATGATTCTCAAAACACGAAAACAAAAACAATCAATGATACCTTTGCAAGGCCCACCTTTATTAGCAATCTATACTATTTTAAAATATAGTAGTGGTGGTTGTGAGGGGGTGAATCTGCCACTACTCCCACCACCATCTCCGAAAAAAATAGTGTGGGGCTACAAGACTCAGTATTTTGGCAATAGTTATATGTAGAAATTAAAAGATTATTAATAGAAAATAAACAATTTTCTTAAATTTAAATCCCATTTCAACATACGAGTAATATACCAATAAAGATAAAAGAAGAGATATCTCTCTATGTCGATATCATGAACACTAAAGCTGGACAGTGAGGGAATCTCAAAAGTATTAGTATTATTCAACGTGAGAATGATACCCATAGATAAGACTAGTTCCTTTGCTTACTTACTTACTTACCACAATAAATAGAGTGTATGGGACCAGATTTTGAAATTTCGGAAACAACCCCCACCCATCGACCCCAAAACTATTTTCCCCCAAAATTTTATCTATACTATTTTAAAATATAATAGTGGTGGTGGTGTCAGGTGAAATCTGCCACCACTCCCACCACCATCTCTGGAAAAAAAATAGTGTGGGGCTACAAGACTCACATTTTAGTAACAGATATATGCAGAAATTAAAAGATTGTTAATAACAGATTAATGATTTTCTTTAATTTAAATCCCATTTCAACATACGAGTAATATACCAGTAAAGATAAAATAAGAGATATCTCTCTATGTCAATATCACAAACACTAAAGCTGGACAGTGAGGGAATCTCAAAAGTATCACTATTATTCAACATGAGAATGATACCTATAGATAAGACTAGTTCTTTTTCTTAGTGTATGGGACCAAAATTTGAAATTTCGGAAACAACCCTCACCCACCCCAAAACTATTTTGCCCCAAAATATTATTTTTTAAAAAAAAAAAACGTTCAAACTTTTTTTATAATTTGGCTCAAATTTGTTTGAATTTCAAATATTTTAATCATGGTATATTTCAAATTTTCCAAAATTTAGAATTTCAAAGAAATTTAGTGTTCCCCTAGAAATTCCCAAAATGATATTGTAAACCATGTGGGGGACTAGTCCACCAAAAGATTTTTTTTTTGAATCTAGAGATGGATTCTAATGACTCGAGTGGACGTGCACTCATTTATTGCATATAGTGTTTCCTGGGTAGTCTTTCCCGGGGTCTCATGACCCTAGTGGATTATCCAATTCTAACTAATTTATGTCATACTAATTAGTATATTGGTTAATAATTAGATAATTAGTCCGGGTAATTTCTGTTTTAGGATCGCCACTAATTGCATGTTAACTGAAATGTTATGAAAAAAAATTTCAAACAAAATAAAAGATAGATTAATACATAATATATCACTCTGCAAATATGTAAGTTCAAATTTGGCTTCTATAAGTTGTAATAAAAATGTTGCATGTTTGGTGAGTTTTATATATATATATATACACACACACACACACACATACATATTAGTCTATATTATCAATTTTTTAAGATTTTTTTCATAACTATTTAGTTGATATACAATAAACGAGTGAATGTCCACCCAAATTCTTTAAAAGTTTCCCACCTCATTCACAATGATGCGCATGCTCATAAAAAAATAATTCTTCTCATGAAAAGTCCTACGTGCACCAACCCAGGAAAGGCACATGAATCCAACATAGAACTTCAATGCCAACATATACCATACCAAATATAGCAAGACCATATGAAAGCATACACACAAAGTCAAATCAATACATGAGTAAAAATACAACCCACAAACTTGCATAGTTTCACACACCCAACAACAAGCTTTTTGGCTTTACTAGCTTAGCTAGCTAGCTAGCACTGGTTGGTGACAAACCCTACACTGTACATCATGTAGTGATGACAACTGTACATTTTGGCAATCAATCATCCAAAAGGAAAGAGGATCTAGCAAATTATCCAATTGATTGGAGCTGCATATGCATAGATAATAAGCATGTTGTCTCTATTTGAGCTATAGTAGAATTAAAAGTTGCATCCATGGCCCCACATATGCCCTACCCTCCTTACCCTTATCTAGCTACCATGCTGGCCCCAGTCCCCTTGTTGCACGGATCATGGCTGGATCGAATCGATGGACGATCAATCATCGATTGGTGTTAGGTTGATCAGTAGCTTAATTCGTCGTCATTCTCAATGCAGTGTCGATCTGTGTAAGCGAGGAGCCTAGCTCAGCTTTAGGGTGTAAGTGGGTAAGCCGCAAACCCACTAATAGGTTAAAGTAAGTGGGTTCGAAACTTACTTTTATCTATAAGTGAGTTTCACGGTTTAACCACTTACACCCTTAACTTAGCTTAGGCGAGTGGGTTAGCGACAGGTGGTGGCTGCCGGTGGAAGGGGGCCAGGCGGTTGTCGCTGAGGCGGGAGAGGTAGGCAGCCTTCTTGTACTCCCCCCACGTGAACTCCTCGTACCGGCTCTGCTCCTCCTCCTCGCCGTTGCCGACGCCGGCCACCAGCAGCTGCCGCAGCGGCGCGATCCTCTGCTCCAATGGCGGCCCTCCGAAGTAGATCATTGACACCCTCGACTTGAGCTTGTTGGCCACCACCCTGTGCCGGACGCTCCTCATCCTCCCGTTCGTCATCACCTGCAGCGAGTCGCCGACGATGACGAGGAAGGAGGCGGGGTCGGGAGGGACGGTGACCCACTGGTGGTCGCCGGCGTCGGCGTCGTGGTGGAGGGCGACCTGGAGGCCGGAGGTGGAGTTGGAGTGGAGGATGGAGATGAGCTGCGGGTCGGTGTGCTCGCCGAACCCGGTCGGGCTGCAGTTGGGCATCAGGTTCTGCAGCAGCGGCGGGCATGGCGGGTAGTGGTTCAGCCGGAGGATCTGGTCGCTCGCCGCGCCGTCGCCGACGACCATGTCGGCGAGCGCGCCGCGCGGCGCCACGCCGAGGCCCTCCGCCACCATCTCCAGCACCGTCCTCGCCATCCCCCGCATGGCGCCCACGTACTTGTTCGCCGCGTCCCTGCGCGCGCGCATGCACGTCGTACATTGACGCGAACTGTGTTTCGAAGCATTTCGTATGCATACAAGGTGTTCGACGGTTGGTTACCGGAGCGAGGACGACGGTGCGGGGGAGGAACGGGAGAGGGACGCGCCGTCGATGGCGAGGAGGAGGTACTCGAGCCACCCCATGTCGCCATTGCGGCCGATGCGCTTGCTCCCGTACCCGAACGGCGACGCGGGGCCGTGCGCGTCCTTCGCCGCCTGCGGCGACGCGAAGAACCGGACGGCCTCCGCCTCCAGCCTACCCACCACGCCCTCCCCGACGCCATGGCTCACCACCTTGAAGAACCCAAACCTCTCGCACGCCCGCACCACCTCGCCCGCCGCGCCGTCCGCGGCCAGGTCCACCACCGGCAACCCGGCGCCGAAGTTATCCTCCACCGACGGCGACCTCACCAGCGAGATCTGCTCCAGCGCCGCCGGCTTCGCGAGCACCACCATGGCCAAGATCGAGCGAGCTAGAGTACACACTGCTACCGATGAGTGAGCTGAGCTGAGGTCGAGGTGATGAGTGCATGGTGTATATATAGGGGGGATCGAGACGAGGTGCAGGACGATCGAATGGGAGGGGAAGGGACAGCGTTGGTGGGCGCTGCTTTTTTCTCGGACTTTTCCGCGTTGGGTGTACGTATCGTCCGCATCGATCGAACGAACGGTTGCTCGCTTTTTTTTGTGTCGTGGCGAGTTGAGGTGGAGAAGGCGGCAAGATCCGGGCATAATTCGGCGGGGAGTGGAGGTGGAGTCCATGGCCATGGCCAACATTCGCGGGGGGAGGAGGCGACGTGTTCCAGTGTGATCCGCCGGGTGGCAATATGGCGAGCTGGGGGAGTACGTCATGTGTGGGCTCTGTTCGGGAGTGAGGGTTCACTCTCCGCCACATAAAACGAAGCAGTGTTTAACACATAATTAATTAAATTTTAGCTAATTTTTTTTAAAAAATAGATCAATATGATTTTTTAAAGCAACTTTCGTATATAAACTTTTTACAAAAAGCGCATCGTTTAGCAATTTGAAAAGCGTGTGCACGCGAAAAATGAGGAGGAGGAATTGGGAACTACTTCTAACGAACACAGCCTAAAATAAAATGTCGGGCCCTCTGGCACGGAACTATTTTTTTTGCGACTATCTATTAATGTTTCGATAGATTTGTAGTTTCAAATCTTGTAAAGTTTTAAAATTTAGGAAATTTTGTTCAGGTTCGATCGTATTTTGCTCCCTCGAAATTTCGGTCCCCGGGTAGATTTATGCATGCACACCGAAGTTGTAAAACCCGCCACTTCATCGATTTATGTAAAAAAATGATGTATAACTCTTGGTCAGAGTTTACAATTTTGGTTCAAAATTTCGGAAATTCAGACCCCACCGGTAAAACAATACTGACCGAAATGTTTAGGTTTTCTCATTTTTTTGTGGAATATTGTCAAAGTTTATTAAAATTCAGTCAGAACCTTTCAAAATTTCAAAAAAAAAAAATCGGTCCAAAAAGTGCCGAAAATCACAAAATTTTGGTCCTACCGAAATTACCGATATTTTCACTGAAATTAAAATTGTAAACCCTGCTCTTGGTACAAGGGACAAGTCAAACAAAGACGTGTCTTTGAGAGAAAAATGGGGAGCAAAATATTTGTTAGAGCTACACGCATAAGATATTTTTTTTTTTTTTGAGAAAGAGGGCATTACTCTCCCATTTTATTACTAAAATGAGCAAAAGTTTTAACAATATGCAGCCAACAGGCAAAAGGACAGCCAAAAGAAACATGCACACACACTGACACAAACAAACATTATTAGTCCTACATCATCATACGACGCTGTCCCACTCTGATGAGTAGAACAACACCGAACGTCCAAACAAATGTCGATCTAAAAACCAATCTAGTCTATCATAGGGCATTATTCATTCTCTTTAGCCTGATAACATGACACTCCCTGGGGACTCCCATCTTCTTTTGTTGGAAGAACTCCAGTAGACACTCATGTGTGGCCTCCAGCCATGCCTAGCTTGAGCTGAACATTGTTCATTGGCTTATCTTCTTTAGCTACAGTAACAATTTTCTTCGCTCTTCCTTCGTAGTCCGCAATATAGATGAAGAATCGATCCATTAACAAGCATCATGCATCAAGTCAGTAGGGTCAAGAGGTAATTTGTTCTTCAAACATGCAGCATTCCTGACTTTCCATAAAGCCTGACCCATATTGACTCATTTTTTTTCCTTTTTCCTGGCATTTCATGGTTATAATCTTGTAATTTTTTCCTGCTCTATTAATAGAACTTCGCACTGTCTTGTGCGAGTCGTTAAAAAAAAACTTTGCAAGTGAACACATCCTTAGTACGTTCACAGAGTAATTTATCATTGGTCAGCTCAATTGGCTGACATATATGCTCCTCCCATGCTTTCTTCTTCTGCCCAATTGATCGCTCTTCCGAATTTCAACAATCCTACCCCCTTCTTCCACACCTTGGCTACCTATACATTTTTGGAATTTGTAATATTGTATAAATTTAGGTGTTGCTCAGTCAGAGGCCAGAGGGTGGCCCCTAATCCAATTGTCCTCCCATATTATAGTATTTTCTCCATTCCCTACTATTTATTTTTTTTCAAAATTTGTGAAACAGATATGTAACTGCCATCAGATCCCTCCAGAAATGCGAATCACCATGTTTGTGTTTTACTTGTGTCAAGATTTGAGATGATAAATATTTGGCCATAAGCATATCTTGACACAACCCTCTTGTTCATTTTCCAACTTCCATAGCCATTTCCCCTCAAAGCAATGTTCATAATTTTCAGATCAAGGATATATATGACTCTTTCTAAGTCACATATTTCTGCTGCCTATGCTTAAAATAAATAAGGAAAACGCTACAACATAAAAATACAACTCAGCGAGATATATATATATATATATATATATATATATATATATATATATATATATATATATATATATATATATATATCACCTTTTAATCCTGATGTCCAATTGGTTTTCACGAGAATCTTCTTACCCCACCAATTCTTAATGTACAAATGACGGCTAAAGATGGTCTAGCCTCAATTTTCAAAAATAATTTGTTGAGTGATTTTTTTCTCTATATTCCAATCACCCTTTTCAACCACGCTCAACATTAAAGGTTAGTCTTTTCTTTGGAACAAAACAAAAAATCTCAAACTTTAACCTCTTCTTTTTTTAAAAAAAAAAAACTCTGGTGTGGCTTCGAATGAATAATGTGAAAAAAAAAATGACAGTCACACTGATAAGCTCGACAATATATACATCAATGCAGCATATAAATAAAAGCATAGCAAACTGAATGTTAGTACCATTATCTACAAAAGAAAGACTGAATATATATTAGTACATCACATCTATACATATTAGAATTGCACCTTTTAAGATTAGCATATCTATATCCAGAAAATATGTCGGCTGGAATTAAAGCGTCGATAGCTCTCATATTTGCATCATGAGCTCGCAACGTGCTGCTTAATTGTGGGGATCGATTCTCGCAATACGTGCCTTTCTTCTCGCCGTGCCTTTCCAGTGCCGATGAACTGCAGGCTGGCCGGCGGCCACATCTGCTGGACTACTACTGACCAGCATATGCAATGCACGTACTATGTCGCTCTGCATTCATCTGCCTGCGAGAAAGATCCACTGAGATCCAGGGCATCCAGCAATATGCAAATGCACGATTTCCAAATGGTTCTCAAACGAGACGATATGGAGCAGAGAATGGATGAGTGCCGTGGTCAGTGGATAAGATCAATGATCAGAAAAGTTCAGTTATGTCTAGATAGAAATATTGCAAACTTGAGACCACTGGTTGATATATGCACGTGCTCTGTAGTGACCAATTTTAATCTTTGGGAAACTGTCAGCAAGCAAAAGTTAAATTATGGTACCTTTGAAGTTCCTTTCTTCGACCAGAGGCCGAAGGTGCGATTGGGGATAAAGAAGATTACACCTTTGACACCATTCCAGTGGGAGGCCATCAGGACGGTGTCAAGTTGGTAGACCCTTCTAGGTCAACAGTCTTTTGGCTCAAACCCCTCCGATGGACCACCTAGCAGCTTGCCGCACTCGCTCGGTAAGTACATTAAGGGTCTGTTTGGCTACTACCATGAAAAAGATATTTCTATCCTAAGACAAGCCGAAGACAAGTCTAAATGTTTGATTGGCACCTTAATGTCAACTTTCCCATACATGATATGAATCTCAGGCATACATCATTAGCCTGAGCCAGGTGACCAAAATTGGTCGCCTGAGCTCTAGACGCGTAGGCATAGCCCCATAATCTGTCTTAGTTAGCAAGAGCAGCGATTATGATTCCACTAGTCGTATGAAGTCGACTTCGCAATCGTTACACGAAGCCTTCGCAACATGCGTCTCTATTGTTGGAAGCCGCCGTCTTGCAACACTGTGCGGACTTGCCATCAAGGATGCCTCGTCAGATCCTATGAAACAGCTGTGCGCAACCAAATAAGCAAAGTGGTTGTCTGGCCAGCGAAACTAATTAACTTCTAGATGCCCCTTAGACTTGTAATTTCTCATCCATGATGCTCAGGTATCAATCAAACAAGCCTAAATACCACCACCTAATCTGAAGAAAATAGAGGTCACATTATCTTGATAGACGATCACTGATTCATCGTGGCATGCGCAGTAAAGCCATAATCCATGGTCAGCTACTCTGCTGGCGTTACATGTGCAAGTAAGGCCCTGTTTAGTTTCCAGAAAGTTTTTCCCAAAAACATCACATCGAATCTTTGAACACATGTATAAAGCATTAAATATAGATAAAAACAAAAACTAATTGCACAGTTAGGGGGGAAATTGCGAGACGAATCTTTTGAGCCTAATTAGTCTATGATTAGCCATAAGTGCTACAGTAACCCACATGTGCTAATGACGGATTAATTAGGCTCAAAAGATTCGTCTCGCGGTTTCCATGCGAATTATGAAATTAGTTTTTTCATTCGTGTCCGAAAATCCCTTCTGACATCCGGTCAAACGTCCGATGTGACACCTAAAAATTTTCATTTCGTGAACTAAACGAGGCCTAAAACGTGGTCGGCTCAAGAGTCGTCCACAGTCATGCAGTGAAGACCCATGCAGAACCACAATACTAGCCTAGCATGGGCTCACCTGACAGTGTGTGTAAATATAATAAATATCCCAATCTATCTATTACATTATTAACACAACTTTGAAAGGAGACACCTCGTTCGTTGTGGAGGCTAGAAATTTTCACATTAATCGGAGAAAAAGAAAAGAAGAGTCCAAGTAGAAATACAATATAAAAATAGCTGAAAATCGGAATTAAAAATATGCAATATTGAAAGAGGAGTCCATATAGGAACCCAATACGTGATTAATTAAAATTCGGAACAAAACTAAATAAATTTCGAATTTTTTTTAAAAAAGAAGAAGAGTTCGAGTAGGAATACAATTTAAAAATAACTGAAATTCAGAATTAAAAATAAGGAATATTGAAAGAAGAGTCCATAAAAGAATCCAATACAAGATTAATTAAAATTCGGAA